CCGGCCAGTGCAAGCGAAAACATGTTGAGGTCGGTTCGTAAGAAATTCGTTAACCGAATTTTTGTTCGTTAACCGAATTGAAGATCCTTATGGAAGGCAGTTCGTTAACCGAGGCGTTCGTTAAACTAGGGGTCACTGTATATATATATACAGTCAACCCTCACTTTACGCGGTCCCACATTCCGCCTTTCCATTTTAACGCGGTGCCCTGCCAAAACCTATCGTGCTCACATTACGCGGGTGCGTAAACCCCATTACGCGGAGAGTGTCCGGCGCGACGCTATTTTTAGATTCGCCCCACCCGCCTGCCTTCCTGTGCTCTCGCCTCTCCCTCCTCCTCCCTCCGCTTGGGCAAGCTGCGCGGTAAGGTTGCGCAGAGTGTGTCTTTGTTGTGTTATCACTGACGTCATATGACGTATCGGACTGTGATTGGCCATGCATCCCTACCCCCCTCCGCTGCTAGCTGTAATTGGCTTAAAGTATTATGACGTGTCCACCCGGGGGTGGGAGGGAGGGAGGGAGGGAGGAAATACGATCCTTGACCTAGCCGCTCCAGTTTCATCCCTCCACGCCAGACCGTGTAAACGTGCATCCATTGTTCTCTAAAATGGCTTCCGCCGGACCACCACCCCCAGAGAGAAACCTTTCCTTACCTGGACCCAGCGGCACTAAGCCAAAGAAGACACGACGTTCCTTAAGCTACGAGGTGAAGTATACCATCATCCAAGAGTTGGAGAAAGGAACAAGGCAGGTTGATTTGGCGTGCCAGTATGGTGTGAATGAATCTACGATTCGAACAATAAAGAAGGATGCAGCCAAGATAAAGGAGCACATGAAGATTACAAAGTCTACAGGTGCTTCTATGATCAAGTATTTTCACAACCAGGTGCTTCTCAAGACAGAAAAATTACTTGTGAGGTACTTGGTGCGTCAGGCGGTCGACACGCGCTCTGTTAAGGACTACGCACGTGAACTGTACATTGCAGTGGCACGAAAGATGGGAATTACAGAGCCCAAACCCTTTAATGCTTCCTCTGGGTGGTTACAGAGGTTTAAGATCCGGAACAAGATCACCAATATAAACATTGGTGGTGAAGAAGCGAGTGCTGACCGTGCTGCGGCTAGGGAATTTCCTCCGTTTTTACGTGAGATTATGGAGGAAGGACAGTACAGTGACGACCAGGTGTTTAACATGGACGAATCTGGTCTTTTCTGGAAAAAGCTACCTTCCAAGTCCTTCGTTGTAAAGAATGCCAGCAAGATTCGGGGCCGGAAGATGCAGAAGGAACTCATCACCGTCCTGTTTACCACCAATGCCTCCGGGACCAGTAAGCTCAAGTTATCGGTGATCCACACAGCCCGCAAGCCGCACGCCTACAAAACCATGGACATAAACAAGCTAAATGTCCACTGGCTGACCGCACGTAAGGCTTGGATGTTCTCTACACTGTCCCTCTCCTGGTTTGATGACTGCTTTGTTCCCGATGTAAAGAAATTCTGTGAGCGACAGAATGTGCCATTCAAGATTTTGTTGCTGCTGGACAACGCACCAGGACACTCGCCCCTACTGTTAGATCGTCACCCCAACGTAAAAGTGGTCTTCCTTCCTCCCAACACTACGTCTATATTACAGCCCATGGACCAAGAGTTAATCTGTAATGTGAAAGCTGCATTCTCTACGAAAAAATTCAAACTCCTGAACGACTACACCAACACCAGGGAAGAGTTGCGTAACCTGAGTGACACCACCACCGATAGCAAGGGCGAAGAAGATGAGGATCAACAGTTGGCACAGCAAAAAATACTGTTCAAACAATTCTGGAGAGTATTTAACATCAAGAAAGCTGTGGACTTCTTGGTGGAGTCATGGGATCAGCGATTTTATCAAGATATATATATATATATATATATATACAGTTGTACCCCACTTAACGCGGTCAATAGAACCCAGAGGGTCCCGTGTTAAGTGATATCCGCGTTAAGTGAACAACAGAACATATGAGATTAATTCCAATAGAAACCAGCCCGACACCCAGACTCCACTTTTTGAAGACACATAATTATGTTGCAGTAAAAATAACATCTTAATTTTATGATGGTACATGCACACAATTAATACTTAAGAGAAATAGAGAAATACAGTCGCCAAGTTAATGTCCATTCAAATAATGGACTCAACTCCCTCCCCCTCTCACACTACACTGCCGGCTCTTCCCTCTCTGAGAAATTTTTTGGGGAAAACCACTAAATTTTAATAAATAATACCTCAAACTAAAGTTAGGATAATACAATTGACATTGCTGGATTCCTTGTAAGACCAGGAATATTTTGAATATAAATGTCATATATTTTGCACAAAAGATAACATAGTTACCCAGAGAAAAATTTTTATCTAAAATTTGTATGTCTAATGCAAAATATATGATGATTATATTCAAAATGTTCACCAAATTATAAGAATTCCAGCAATGTAAATTATATTCTGACCGGGTAATTTGTATGAATTTTATGAGCTAAAACAAATATCTTCAGTTAATAAAAAAAAAAAAATATTCTTCACGACACTATCTGTCAATCAAAGTACCCCACCTTGCCTCCCCCCCTCTTCCAACCGCGCGGTCAGTCCCAACCCTCCCCCCCACCCCCCACCAATCCTCCCTTCAAGAGATGTGGGGTGAAAAAAATAAATTTTAACATTTTGTATTAAATAATACCTCAGATTAAAGTTAGGATAATATAATTGACATTGCTGGATTCCTTGTAAGACCAGGAATATTTTGAATATAAATGTCATATATTTTGCACAAAAGATAACATATTTACTCAGAAAACATTTTATCTAAAATTTGTATGTCTAATGCAAAATATATGATGTTTATATTCAAAATGATCATCAAATTATAAGAATTCCAGCAATGTAAATTATATTCTGACCGGGTAATTTGTATGAATTTTATGAGCTAAAACAAATATCTTCAGTTAATAAAAAAAAAAAATATTCTTCACAGGGTAACAGATGGTCGGTCGGTCCCTCCCTCCCCCCCCACCCCCCACCAACCGTCCCAAGGAGATGTGTGGGAAAACCAGAATACTTAACTTTTTTGTAATAAATAATACCTCAAACTAAAGTTAGGATAATATAATTGACATTGCTGGATTCCTTGTAAGACCAGGAATATTTTGAATATAAATGTCATATATTTTGCACAAAAGATAACATAGTTACTCAGAGAAAAATTTTATCTAAAATTTGTATGTCTAATGCAAAATATATGATGTTTATATTCAAAATGATCACCAAATTATAAGAATTCCAGCAATGTAAATTATATTCTGGCCGGGTAATTTGTATGAATTTTATGAGCTAAAACAGGCAGTCAGGCAGGGTGGCGGGTGGGGCAAATCTAAAAATAGCGTCTCGAGCCGGACACTCACCGCGTATATGTGGAAAAATCCGTGTTAAGTGAAAGTTCAGCTCTGGCGAGGCACCGCGTATATGATAAAACGCGTTAAGTGAAACCGCGTTAGGCGGGGTAATACTGTATATATATTCACAATATTTTATAATCGCAGTCATGTAGTGAATATTCTATGTAAAAAATATAAATTTTAAATGAATTATTCATAGTGTGGTCGACTTCCTACACAAAGACGGGCTATAAATAGCGGTCTTTTCTCCCCTCCCCCTCCATCCCTCTGTTCTCAGAGAGAAGGTCTTGGTAAATAACTTTTGTTTGTTTATTTTCATTGTTTGTCTAATTTATCATGTTGTATCAAAGTAATATTACTAAAAATTTTAGGCAGCTACCAAACAGGGAGATACTACCGCCTGGGAAGATATTGGAAGCATAATGTACAGTATTGTCTAATGGTAGATCCTACTTCCATATGGCATCACGAAAATTGTGACCAAGTCTTAGGTTGCTCATCTATCTTTCTGCCTCATTTACACAATTGCAGAATTTCAATTGTTTCTCTTCCTTTGACAACACAACATACACACAATATAATGTTTCTCACCTTTGATCTTTTTTCCTTTTTGCATTTATTTATGGTTGGTTATTGAAATAAGGGCAATTCACTTAAAGTATTGGCACCAAATTTTACCGGCTGGTGTACACTAGTGACTCACTTAAGCGTCAGTTATTTAACTGGAACTAATGTTGGTGTGAGTGAAATATTTCCATTTATTTGAAATAGATTTGCCGATTTATTTGTTTATTTATTTATAATATACTGTAATATATTAAACACACTGCAAGTATTTTCTTTAGTTATATACTTGTTTTGCGAAAAAGGAAGGCTACCATTATACCTGGTAGGTGAAGTTGACCAGACATTTATGGTGATCATTAAGGACCAAACTCCAAATCCATGACCTGACTTCTGTTCATCATTTATATCCTAAATTTACCACTGTTGGTAGTTTCAAGAATTAACGCAGTCATTTACTGAATATTCTTTGTAAAAAAATAAATTTTAAATGAATTATTTATAGGAGATAAGTATTATGATCAGTAAATATACAGATATGCATTACTGACCACCTCCGAACACAAGGACGGCTAAAAATAGCCACAGGCGGTCTCAGTCAAGGTCACTTTCCCTTTCTTGTCACTGGCAAATTGGGGGGGTGTGGTGATAGCAGCTGTGTTTATTACCGGGGTATATTGCTCTTTTACGGTATGTTCGACTGGTTTATAATACATTTTTAATATTTTAATATACCGGTAATCTTCATTTTAATCCAGCTTCCCAAACGTAAGGTTCAGTATAAAATAATTAGTGGTAGGACCTTGTGAGTGGTTTACGCACCACTCTTGACACGCTAAACCGCAATATTTAAGAGGTAAGAATTTTATATCTGGTGCTAAGACGACTCCCAAATTTGGGCTGATTTTTTTATGGTTCAAATTCCGTTTTGTAGGCCGAGATATACGGTAGGTCGTAAGTCGGGGAGGAGCTGTATACTGTACGGTATATAATTTATTTTACTCCAGGTTTACGCATGGGGTTCCAACACCATGGGTCAGTGTGGGCAGGGCCATACTGTGTCACCCATACCCAGACCCAAAAAAGTGATGGGGCTAGATGTTGCTGTTCATCAGATTAGTGCTGGAACTACACACTCCATTGCATGGACAGCTATACCAACAGACAGGCAAGTGAATCCTAACAAGCCACACATCCTCTCAAGAGATATACAGTACAATATATCTAGTGATCACCAACCATGTTTCATGTACTATACTGTACTGTATAATCTTTTATTGTTTTCAGTATTAAACACCTTTTTTCAGTCAGTTGTGATTGACTTAACAAGTGTCCTAGATATAAACTGATCAGGTAAATGACAGTCTTTTTAAAATTTGCCAACATCTTGCCTTGTTTGCCAAAAACTGGAAAAGATCAAGAATTTTGGTGATGATGATAGTCTTGTGTTGAACCTTACCATGAGCAGCACCTCCTTCTAGGCTACACCATAAGTAAACATAAACCTCAGACATTATATGAATTATTTGTGCTTATGTCTCATAATTAAGGATCACATGAAGCTTAGGCACCCTACCTTATTTCACCTGATGATTATACTGACCTGACCCAACCTGACCTAAGCTACCTTATTTCACCTGATGATTAAACTAACCTGACCTAAGCTACCTTATTTCACCTGAGGATTAAACTGACCTGACCTAAGCTACCTTATTTCACCTGATGATTAAACTGACCTGACCCAACCTGACCTAAGCTACCTTATTTCACCTGATGATTAAACTGACCTGACCCAACCTGACCTAAGCTACCTTATTTCACCTGATGATTAAACTGACCTGACCTAAGTACCTTATTTCACCTGATGATTAAACTAACCTGACCTAAGCTACCTTATTTCACCTGATGATTAAACTAACCTGACCTAAGCTACCTTATTTCACCTGATGATTAAACTAACCTGACCTAAGCTACCTTATTTCACCTGATGATTAAACTAACCGACCTAAGCTACCTTATTTCACCTGATGATTAAACTGACCTGACCTAAGCTACCTTATTTCACCTGATGATTAAACTGACCTGACCCAACCCGGCCTAAGCACCTTATTTCCAATGATTAAAACTAACCTGACCTAAGCTACCTTATTTCACCTGAGGATTAAACTGACCTGACCTAAGCTACCTTATTTCACCTGATGATTAAACTGACCTGGACCCTAAGCTACCTTATTTCACCTGATGATTAAACTGACCTGACCTAAGCTACCTTATTTCACTTGAGGATTATACTGACCTGACCCAACCTGACCTAAGCTACCTTATTTCACCTGAGGATTAAACTGACCTGACCTAAGCTACCTTATTTCACCCGAGTATTAAACTGACCCGACCTAAGCTACCTTATTTCACCTGATGATTAAACTGACCTGACCCAACCTGACCTAAGCTACCTTATTTCACCTGATGATTAAACTGACCTGACCCAACCTGACCTAAGCTACCTTATTTCACCTGATGATTAAACTGACCTGACCCAACCTGACCTAAGCTACCTTATTTCACCTGATGATTAAACTGACCTGACCCAACCTGACCTAAGCTACCTTATTTCACCTGAGGATTATACTGACCTGACCTAGCTACCTTATTTCACCCGATGATTATACCGACCTGACCTAAGCTACCTTATTTCACCTGAGGATTAAACTGACCTGACCTAAGCTACCTTATTTCACCTGATGATTAAACTGACCTGACCTAAGCTACCTTATTTCACCTGAGGATTATACTGACCTGACCTAAGCTACCTTATTTCACCTGATGATTAAACTGACCTGACTTAAGCTACCTTATTTCACCTGAGGATTATACTGACCTGACCTAAGCTACCTTATTTCACCTGATGATTAAACTGACCTGACCTAAGCTACCTTATTTCACCTGATGATTAAACTGACCTGACCTAAGCTACCTTATTTCGCCTGAGGATTATACTGACCTCACCTAAGCTACCTTATTTCACCTGATGATTAAAGTGACCTGACCTAAGCTACCTTATTTCACCTGAGGATTATACTGACCTGACCCAACCTGACCTAAGTACCTTATTTCACCTGATGATTAAACTGACCTGACCTAAGTACCTTATTTCACGTGATGATTAAACTGACCTGACCTAAGCTACCTTATTTCACAAAGACATCTAGAAGCTACAGTGCACCATTAAGTTAGGGGGATACATTACCACACACTTATGTAAACAATATTATTGGACAAATGAATGTTATAAGTAGGACAATGAATCGTGGTGAAGTTTACCTCCGTGATTATTGTAAAGTATTGGCCAGTAGGGTTAAGACTGAGATAAGAAAATTAAAGAGGAATAATGAACTGAAGGTAGCAAGGGAGGCGAAGTCAAACCTCAAGGGATTTTTCAAATGTAGCAAACTAAAACATGAGACAAGATTGAACCAATACAGTCAGATAACGACGGAGTAATAAGTAATATGAACAGATATACTTCATCAGTTTTCACAAACAAAAATTTAAAGCATGACACCTGAGGCACCGACTGTCTACAGAGATAGTGAAGAAAATAGATTAAACGAGATAGTAGTGACTAGTAACGATGTTAATAAACAATAGATAAACTGACACCTAATAAGTCACCAGGTCCCGACAAGATATTTGCCAGAGTATTAAAGTAATGTAAGGAAGAACTTAGTACTGTATGCCCTTAGCAAACATAAGCACATAAGAATGAAGGAAATTGCAGCGGGCCTATTGGCCCATACTTGGCAGTCTCATATCCACCCAACCCCTATCGCTCATATATCCACCCAACCCCTATCACTCATATATCCACCCAACCTATGTTTGAAGCTATCCAGCGTGTTCGAGTATATGATGATGTTTGGTAACTTGTTCCACTCGTCCACTACTTTATTTTCAAACCAATGTTTACCTATCTCGCGCCTAAATCTAAATTTGTCTAATCTAAAACCATTGTTACGAGTTTGCTCCTGGTTGGATAGTTTGAGTACCTTTGTAATATCACCTTTGATTAGCCCTGACTTCCATTTACAGTGGTCCCTCGGTTAACGAACGGTTCGGTTAACGAAATTTCGGTTAACGAATTACCTTCCATAAGAATCTTCAATTCGATTAACGAAATCCTTACGAAAATCACGTTTTGTTGTGAGCATCAGCTGATCAGCTGATGGTCTACTCTGCCAATTCAGTAATCTGTTCTATGTTTACATTCATTTCCAATGGAGTAAATATCTAAATATATCAATAAAGTTGTACTCTTTAATATTTTTGCATGTTTTATATTAAAATTATTAGTAATTTTAACATTTATTTAACATATTGATAATATATGCAGTACAGGGAACTAGTTTGTTGTGCGCCCATGCATGAGTCGGTCACAAGGCGTTAGTTAAGCTTTGAAAACAGTGGAGAGAGCATCTATTTTGTTGGTGTCTTGAATATTTTTGCATTTTTCATTGACATTATTGGTCATTCTGAACGTCAGCTAACATATTGATAATATATAGTGCAGTGCAGTGTTGATTTAAATAAAATGATCTTGAGTTACACCTTGTGAACTTAAAATTTTATTAGTGAAATTACTGCATCAAGCATGGGTCCCCTGAAAGGTGATTTCTCCTCCATCCCCACTTTCTTCTCTTTTCCCTTCTCCTCCACCCCCACTTCTAATTCCCATCATCATCATCAACCAGCAACATGCTACATACACACCTCAAAATATGTGTACTTTACTGCATTTTTTTTACTTTGTATGTACTTTTTGGTGAGCTGGAACCAATTACCCAATATAGTGGTTCCTCGGTTAACGAACACAATTCGTTCCAGAAGGTCGTTCGTTCACCGAAAATTTCGTTAACCGAATTCATTGTTTCAATGGGATATTGGGTAATTGGGGCGTGGACACCCTCACTAGTAAAAGATGTGGTTTGTGCCAGTGTCAAGTATTGGTACTTCAATAACAGTTTTCTCTCTCAGACGTGTGGTATCGTGGCATCGTCCTTTCTGTGTTGACCTACAAGAGGGCACCTTCTCCTTGCTGAGAACCTTCATTGAGCTCTACTGTTGTTTTGATGACATGAAGAACCCAATCAAACCATTTGATTCTTTGAGGTGAGGTTATGAAAACTGTGAGGTTAGGTTAACTGTTAACTGTGGGCTTATGTTAACTGTTAGTTGTGGGGTTATGTTAACTGTTAGTTGTGGGGTTATGTTTACTGTTGTAATGGGCCGAGTTCTTCTCATTTTATATTTTACAATCTATATATTCTTTTTGGTTATTATTCTTCAAGTCTTTATTTATAAATGTATTTTATACTCTTACTTACATTCTTATAGTATTCTTTTCTTAGTTATGTATGTGTTTTATATTAGACTTTCATGGTGTATTTATTTAAGAATTTCTATGCTGTGACTTTAGTTCCACAATGTACATACCTGTCTTATCTTTCTCTTCTTGTACTTTCCAAGTCTTTTACTTCTATCATATCTATTATATTCCCTTCCATATATTTTGTTCTAGTTATATTCTAAACCATAGATTAACCTGGGAAACCATGTCTTCCTTTTATTACCACACTTATTATACTTACAACGGTAGCCTGCCACCACCCAGAATTTTATTAGAATATAACATATCTTAGTTAACTGTTAGGCAGCGAGCTTCTAGGCACGTGAGTAAGTCTTATTTTCTGGGAACCAATGTTTAGAAGGCGTAGAGTGGTGATACTCGTAGATTACTAATTCAATATTTATTAACACAGTGAGTGAATAAGATGCATCTTAGATTCACTCAGACAAAACAGAACCCCAATTAACTTATTAAGTCATCAAACACTTCAAGAACTTATTACCTCATTAAACAACTATTACTCATTACTTCATTAGACAATTTTTGTATTAGTTCTTTGACAAGTAAGATTCAGGAGTTACTACACACGGTCAGATAACACTGGACCCTCAGGTCGTACTTTTATAAGTAACCTACTACTTCTTCAAGTCTTGGTTATAACATTATACACTCAGGTTATTATTTCATGGTCACTACCGACAAATATATAATACACTGGACAAACTACACAATTATAGCAACCTACAATACCTCCTGTTAGTTTGCAAGGAACAACATGGCACTTTAACTCTCATTCAGTGGTTCAATACTTAACCTGGGATGACTATATTTCTGCTAGTCACCCCCAAGCATGGATATTAATATGGCTCCATACATATAACCAAGAACAGTAGATAGACCATGATCATACGACAGAGTCAGTGGGCCAAAGTTGTTTACAGGCTCGCTCACTAGCTCGGAGCGCCTGGCCCAGGAAAGGTTGACTCGTGGCGGTGGGCCGTGGCGTCTGCCAAGGAATCTCGCCCTGGGATTCTAATCTCGCCACCTCAAAGACATCCTTCGAGAGACATCGTGCCCATAGGCGGCTCCCGAACCTCAGGAGTGTTGCTAAGCCCCACAACAGCGCCTGGAGACGTGGAGGAGAAATCACAGAGGGAGTGAATATTTAACTTCACTATGCAAAACATACGTCTGGCAACGGTCCAGATGATAGCTAGATCTCTACATTACTCGACTCAATTGGCACGGAAGTTACTGTGTTAAAACATGAACACTGATATTCACAAAATTGACTAAGTTAAACTAAATTAATATGGCAGCGTGGAACACACGTGAACATACGTGGAGACGTGGAGGAGAAATCACAGAGGGAGTGATTTTTCCTCGCGCGCCGGCATATATACGGGCCTGAGGGCATATTCCTACTAGATAAGACTAATTTTACTAACAATAGGCCCTCTATTCAAAGTAGTCATTGGACACCTAGCTGTGACCGTCAGTGTCACAGATCAGGCTGATTTTCTACACTATATTCATGATCTAATCAGAGATTGAGTTTGTCAGGAAAGAGGTGAAATGGAGTTATATATGCGTTCGCAATTCTATTGGCCTGACCGCAAACCACATCCCAGGTCGAACGGCCGTTAAGTCTTGGAGAATTTTGAGTTTGACAGGAACTGTTCAGGAGATTAATGACTTTCTTAAATAAACAACTGACACTAACTAAACTATAAACATCAGATTCTCTGATGTCGGGGCGACAAAATAATATAACATCAGTAGCGATCAGAAACTCATGGGTATCCCCACGGACGACATAATATACGCCACTCTAGCTGGCAAACTCGACACTCTCCCACTTGACACGTCCTACTAACAATAAGGACAGTTGAAGCGTTCAACACCACTCACAATGGATCTTGAATGTTTTAACTGTAAACAGACACATCTAAGTTGACTCAAAACAAGGGTGTTCTCTCTCACATTCAAATTCATTTTATAGAGAGGTTGGGTTCAATAAGTCAGAGAAAATGGGATAACGGAAGACTGAGGTGTCTTGAAGTGATGAGAAAACGGAATCCTCAGATGGAGGACTCAAAATAAAAGCCGAGTTACATGTTTTGTGAGTTATTGAGCGTAATATGAATCATTTGATTTTGGCGCTAACTGACGTGTATGACCGTGGTCGTTACACTGTGAGGTTAGGTTAACTGTTAACTGTGGGCTTATGTTAACTATTAGTTGTGAGGTTATGTTAACTGTTAGTTATGGGGTTATGTTAACTGTTAGTTGTGGAGTTATGTTAACTGTTAGTTGTGGGGTTATGTTAACTGTTAGTACTGTAGTGGGGTTATGTTAACTTAGTTGTGGTATTATGTTAACTGTTAGTTGTGAGGTTATGTTACCTGTTAGTTGTGGGGTTATGTTAACTGTTAGTACTGTAGTGGGGTTATGTTAACTTAGTTGTGGTATTATGTTAACTGTTAGTTGTGAGGTTATGTTAACTGTTAGTTGTGGGGTTATGTTAACTGTTAGTTGTGGGGTTATGTTAACTGTTAGTTGTGGGGTTATGTTAACTGTTAGATACGTTCTTATAAACCACAATGTTATGTGAAACACCATTAATTGGATCACTTTTACCCCTAAGAAACTGAAGAAATAAGTAAATTACATTCTCCCCCTGTCGTCACCCCTATGACATACCTCATAATTTACACAATGTAAACTCAATTGTGAATACAGTAATATCTCCATTAGCAGGAATCACTCTTAACTGGAAGTCTCTGATAGCCTGAATTGAAATTTTTTCGGAAAATTCTTACAAAATTTTATGGGTTTCTGGAAAATTTTGAGAAAATTCCGGGGATGGGGGGGGTTTCTTCCCGTGTTCTAGAGATGATGTAGTAATGTGCAGTTTCTGGAACTTCCGAGAAAATTTATTCTGTACTTGGAAAATTCCAGGGATGAGGGATTTTTTCTTGCTTTGAGAGTCTTGTTACCCAGAAATCTTAAATTCCTGGAAGTGCTCTGCACTAATTGTTCCAGCTAAAAGAGATATCACTATAGATTTTGCTCCGTAATTACATATAGATTTGTACCACAGCAATGTTTAATTATTATTTAATTTGATATATTGTACTCATCGATGGCCAAAGGTGAAGCAGGTGAGTGGTGGGAGAATGGCTGTGGTGGGAGAATGGCTGTGGTGGGAGTCACTGAGACCAAGAGAAACCTCCCCATTTCCTCACTGCCTCCATCACTCTACTATGAGGTCGACATGTCTTAGTAGCACTCAAAGATGCAGCAATTCCAACACTGGTCATAATTTTCTCATCACTAAAACGAATTGTATACACCGTAGTAGCAGCTAATTCCAATACTAGCCCTATATCAATAGCATGATCACTAGCTTCAAAACAACATGAAATACCCATCTTTACTGCCAGACTGATACATCAACATTGCTTCTTGTAACTAGCACTACTAGCAAAATGATTTGCTCTTCATTTTGAAGCCATTTCAATGGGCAAAGTTGAACAACAACGTAAACAAGGTGAACACGAGGTACACAGAACACGCTCTGCTGTGGTGACACTGTACAGCATCACTAGGTGGGTGAGGGAAAGTGTCACACGGAGAAAAGTACTGTGGAACCATCTGACCGACAACATAATAACAGTTTTACTCAATGTTGTGTGGAGCCTGGGTATAGAAATAGTATTATGATATAACATTAACTGGGACAATATTAGGTGAGGAGCTACTGTATATAAGCTAACTTTTTTATCAGTGGGAGCAGTGCAAAGATGGCAGACACAATATAATTTTTTTGTCAGGGATCAAAAGTGTTTTGTATTGCTATGTTTTCATCTGGTGGACAACCTTCTTTATTTTGATGTGACATACGATGATGTTCAATGTGGCATAAATGAATTTTAAGATGCTAAGCAAAGTTTATGTTCAGAAATTAATTTTATCTTTAAATTTTTTTCCTAGGGATCAGGAGAAGTTTGTGTTGTTGTGTTTACAGTTGCTGAACACCCACCTGTCATTAGCTCTGACTGGTGGCATGACACAAGGTGTGCTTGGCTCTGAGGCAGCACCTCTCAGGGAACTATTGTTCAGGTAAGTTTGTCTTCAGAATCTTATGAAAATTCTTTTATACAGAGTAAATCAGTCTCAAGACTCTTCATAAATACTGTATACTATAGGATTATACTGTACATGAGTCAGTGGATTACAGGGGTCCCCGGGTTATGAGCTGGTTCCGTTCCTGAGGACGTTCGTAAGTCGAATTTGTACGTAAGTCAGAACACATGCTATATGCATACCGTACTTAAACAAAACAATATTTAAAATTGCACTATTTCATAGCCTAAGTCATTATTTACATCTAAAATCACTTAATTTTAAACAAAAGAAGAAATAGAATGACAAAATACAGAAAATGAAAGTAAAAAATAAGTCATTAGGTAAATAAAATAGTGTAAATTTCAAGTTTAACCTCGTTTGTATCGGCGGAAGTTCGTAAGTCGGACGTTCATAAATCGGGGACCTCCTGTACTGTATATATTGTAGTTGATAATAAAAGGAATCACATTATATGATCCTTTCCTTTACTTACAGGCTAGTTGATGCCAAGTTGCCTTGGGCTATAGAAGCAGGAGTGTGTGAGGGTCTGAGTTCACCTTTATTGCTGCCACCACTGGCCTCACGTATGAGTCTTCTATACTGCCTTTTACCCAAGTCACCGGAGGACTGGGGACGCCTCTCACGTGGTCAGGTTTGTGCCACTCATGTAAAATATTAAGATTCATCACAAAAACCAAGAATAGAATATGGAAATGTGGCCGTATGTCTTTCAGTTTCTTATGGATGAGTTTCTTGGGTAGAAGTTTTCCAATGTACTTTCGGCTCTCACTATTTTACACAAAACACAGCCTCACCCAGGGACCTGTGCTGCCTCCCACCCTCTTCAATCCCTTCCTCCAGTAGCCTCCCACCACCACCACTAGTAGTTGTCTACACGGGTGACCTGGCAGTAGTCTCCCAGCACCACCACTAGTAGTTGTCTACACTGGTGACCTGGCAGTAGTCTCCCAGCCCCCACCACTAGTAGTTGTCTACACTGGTGACCTGGCAGTAGTCTCCCAGCCCCCACCACTAGTAGTTGTCTACACTGGTGACTGGCAGTAGTCTCCTAGCACCACCACTAGTAGTTGAAAATGCTGCACACACTGGTGAGCCTGTAGAGTCTCCCAGCACCACCACCACCACTGTAGTAGTTGTCGACACTGGTGACCTGGCATTGGTTTCCCAGCCCCCCCACCACTAGTAGTTGTCTCTGTGGTAGCCTGGCGTGGCTCTCCCCCAGCCCCCACCACTAGTAGTTGTCTACACTGGTGACCTGGCTGGTAGTCTCCCCAGCACCACCACTAGTAGTTGTCTGCTGGTGAGCCTGGCAGTGGTCTCCCAGCACCACCACAGTTTGTCTACACTGGTGACCTGGCGGTAGTCTCCCAGCAGCACCATCACTAGTGATTTGACCTGCACTGGTGACCTGGCAGTGATCTCTGGCACACCACTAGTAGTTGTCTACTGGTGACCTGGCAGTAGTCTCCTGGCACCACCACACAGGCGTTGCTTCCTGAGGTGACCTGGCGGCGGTAGTCTCCCAGCACCACCACTGGTGATGGTTGTCTGCACTGGTGAGCCTGGCGTGGAGTCTCCCAGCCACACCTGGTGGTTGTCTACACTGTGGTGACTGGCAGTAATCTCCAGCTAGCACCACTGGTAGTTGTCTGCACTGGTGACCTGGCAGTAGTCTCCCAACCCCACCACTAGTAGTTGTCTACACTGGTGACCACAGCAGTAGTCTTCCAGCACCTACAAGTAGTTGTCTACACTGGTGACCTGGCAGTGATCTCCCAGCACCACACCACCAGTTGTCCTCACTGGTGACCTGGCAGTGATCCTTAGCACCACCACTATTAGTTGTCTCACTGGTGACCTGGCAGTGATCTCCTACCATAGTAGTTGTTTACACTGGTGACTTGTAGTAGCACACCACTGGTAGTTTGTCCCACACTGGTGATCCTGAAAGCGTGACAGTAGTCTCCAGCACCACCACTGGTGGTTGTCTGCACTGGGTGACCTGGCTTCGTGGTCTCCAGCACCACCAGCCAGACCATCCTACACTAATTTAACAACGCGGTGGTCTCCCAGCACCACCGCCGTGATTGTGCCTGCACTGGTGACCTGGCAGTAGTCTCCCAGCACCACACTGGCGGTTGTCTACACCACACAGAGTGGGCTGGCAGTGGTCTCCCAGCACCACCAGTAATTCAGCCACCACCACACTGGTGACCTGGCAGTGGTCTCCCAGCACCACCACTAGTAGTTGACTACACTGGTGACCTGGCAGTAGTCTCCCCAGCACCACCACTGGTGGTTGTCTACACTGTGACCCCAGTAGTCTCCAGCACCACCATTAGTTAGCCACACTGGTGACAGCAGTGGTCTCCCAGCACCACTGCACTCTGTCAGTTGTCTGCACTGGTGACCTGGCAGTAGTCTCCCCCAGCACCACCACTAGTGGTTGTCTACACTGGTGAGCCTGGCATTGTTCCTCCCAGCACCAGTAATTTGTCTACATTAGTGACTGATAATCTAGCACCACCACTAGTGATTTATTCTGCACTGGTGACCTGGCAGTAGTCTCCCAGCACCACCACTAGTGGTTGTCTGCACTGGTGAGCCTGGCAGTAGTCTCCCCGGCACCACCACTAGCAGTGATTTGTCACCACTGGTGGCAGTAGTCTCCCAGCACCACCACTGGTAGTTGGCTACACTGGTGACCTGGCAGTAATCTCCCAGCACCACCACTAGTAGATTTATCTACACAGGTGACCTGGCAGTAGTCTCCCAAGCACACCAGTGGTTGTCTCACACTGTGGTGTTGACTTGGCAGTGGTCTCCCCAGCACCACCACCACTTTCGTGGTTGTCTACACTGGTGAGCCTGTGGCAGTAGTCTCCCAGCACCACCACTAGTAGTTGTCTACACTGGTGACCTGGCAGTAGTCTCCCAGCACCACCACTGAAAGTAGTTGTCTCTGCATTGGTGACCTGGCAGTAGTCTCCCAGCACCACCACTAGTAGTTGACTACACTGGTGACCTGGCAGTAGTCTCCCCAGCACCACCACCACTAGTAGTTGTCTACACTGGTGACCTGGCAGTAGTCTCCCCAGCACCACCACTGATGATTGTCTACACTGTGGACCTGTGGCAGTGGTCTCAGCCCCCCTGCTAGAAGTTGCCTACACTGGTGACCTGGCAGTGGTCTCTGCTTCCCACCACACTAGTAGTTGTCACTACACTGGTGAGCCTGGCAGTAGTCTCCCAACACCACCACTAGTGGTTGTCTGCACTGGTGAGCCTGGCAGTGAGTCTCCCAGCACCACCACCTCAGCCTGGATTGTCTACACTTTGGTGACCTGGCAGTAGTCTCCCAGCCCCCACCATAGTAGTTGTCTACACAGTGACCTGTAGTGGTCTCCCAACACCACCATAGTAGTTGTCTACACTGGGCCTGGCAGTAGTCTCCCAGCCCACCACTAGTAATTTGTCTGCACTGGTGAGCAGCAGTAGTCTCCCAGCACCACCACACCTAGTAGTTGTCTACCTGTGACCTGGCAGTAGTCTCCCACCACTAGTAGTTGTCTACACTGGTGACTGGCAGTAGTCTCCCAGCACCACCACTAGTAGTTGTCTACACTGGTGACTCGCAGTAGTCTTCAACACCACCACTTCAATTTTGTCCACACACACAGGTGACCTGGCAGTAGTCTCCCAGCACCACCGCCACTAGTAGTTGTCTACACTGGTGACCTGGCAGTGATCTCCCAGCCCCCCACCACTAGAAGTTGTGTCTCCACTGGTGACCCACGGCAGTAGTCTCAGCCCCACCACTAGTGATTTGTCTGCACTGGGCTGACCCTGGCAGTAGTCTCCAGCCCCACCCCCAATGGTTGTCTGCTGGTGACCTGGCAGTGGTCTCTCCCCAGCCGACACCACTAGGCTAGTTATCCACTGGTGACCTGGCAGTAGTCTCCTAGCACCACCACTAGTAGTTTTGTCTCTGCATTGGTGACCTGGCAGTAGTCTCCCAGCACACACCACTAGTAGTTGACTGCACTGTTGACCTGGCAATCAGTCTCCCAGCACCTGCCACTAGTAGTTGTCTGCACTGGTGACCTGGCAGTAGTCTCCCAGCCCCACCACTAGAAGTTGTCTATATACTGGTACGGCCTGGCAGTAGTCTCCCAGCCCAACACAGTGATTGTCTACACTGTTGACCTGGCAATGCAGCCCCACCACTAGAAGTTGTCTCCACTGGTGACACTAGCAGTGAATATACTAAATATAGATTTAATCTACACTGGTGACCTGGCAGTAAGTCCTCCCAGCACCACCACTAGTGATTGTCTGCACTGAGGTGACCTGTGATCGCCCAGCACCACACTGTGGGTGCCTTCTCCACACTGAGACTTTAGCTGATCTCCCAGCACCACCACTAGTAGTTGTCTACGCAGGTGACCTGGCAGTAGTCTCCCGCACCACCACTAGTGGTTGTGTCTACACTGGTGACCTGGCGATAGTCTCCTAACACCACAATGCTAGTTGCTCTCCACTGGTGACCTGGCAGTAGTCTCCCAGCACCCACACACCACCAAGTGAGGTTGTCTACACTGTGGTGACCCTGGCAGTAGTCTCCCAGCACCACCACTAGTGAATGTCTACACTGTGACCTGTGATATACACCTGTAGTTATGCCATGGTGACCTGGCAGTAGTCTCCCATGCCACCACTGGCGGTTTGTGCATTTTGGCAGTAGTCTCCCAGCACACCTCCATTGGTTGTCTACACTGGTGAGCCACCAGCCCTAGTCTCCCAGCACACCCAAGTGATTGTGCCTGCACTGGTACAGGCCTGGCAGTGATCCCAGCACACGCAATGGTTGCGTCTCCACTGCAGTGGTTGGCAGTGATCTCCAGCACCACCAGTAGTTGTGCATAGGTGACCTGTGCAGAGAAAATGGTCTCCCCGGCGCCGCACTGGTAGTTCACCACTGTGAGCCTGGCGAAATCTGAGTCTCCCAGCACCACCACTAGTAGTTGTCTACTGGTGACCTGACGTGGTCTCCCAGCACCACCACCAGTGGTTGTGTCACTGAGGCTGGCAGTGGTCTCCCAGCACCACCACTGTGGTGCAGCCCTGCACTGGCGATGGGCCTGGCAGCATTCTCGGCACCACCGCAGTGGTTGTCTACACCAGGCCATAGCAAGTCAGTCTCCCAGCACCACCACCTAGTGGTTGTCTACACTTCTGTGTTCTGTAGAAGTAGTCTCCCAGCACCACCAGTGGTTATTCTCCACACTGACCTGGCAGTAGTCTCCCCAGCACTGCACCACTGGTGGTTGTCTCCACTGGTGACCTGGCAGTGATCTCCCAGCACCACCACTGGTGGTTGTGTACTACACTGGTGACTCAGCGTGATCTCCCAGCACCACCACTAGTAGTTGTCTCCTGAGGCCTAGCAGTGAGTGGCACACGCAGTGGTTGTCTACACTGGTGACCTGTAGTCTGCAGCACTTGCCACCAGTAGTTGTCTCCACTGGTGACCTGGCAGTAGTCTCCAGCACCACCACACCCAGCCCAGTTCACTGGTGACCTGGCGTGCGTCTCCCGCTTTCTGTGGTTAGCTACCTGGGCTGGCAATGGTCTCCAGCACTACCACACCTAGTAGTTGTCTACACTGGTGGCCTGGCAGTAGTCTCCCAGCACCACACCACACTAGTAGTTGCTCTCTACACTGGTGACCTGGCAATGGTCTCTCCCAGCACCACTGAGTAGTTGTCTCCACTGGTGACCTGGCAGTAGTCTCCCAGCACCACCCAGTAGTTGTCTACACTGGTGACCTGGTAGTCAGCACCACCACTAGTGGTTGCTCACCACTGGTGACACAGCAGTGGTCTCCCAGCACCACCACTAGTAGTTGTCTACACTTTGGTGACCTGGCAGTAGTCTCCCAGCACCACTAGTAGTTGTCTCCACTGGTGACCTGGCAGTGATCCCAGCACCACCACCACTAATCAGATTCATCCACACTGGTGACCTGGCGGTAGATCTCCACGCCCACCACTAGTAGTTGTCTACACTGGTGACCTAGCAGTATACTCCCAGCACTTTACTAGTAGTTGTCTACACTGAGTGACCTGGCAGTAGTCTCCCGCCACCACCTGGTGACTGTCTCACCAGGTACCAGCACAGTAGTCTCCCAGCACCACCACTAGTAGTTAACCACACTGGTGACCTACAGCAGTAGTCTCCCAGCACCACCACTAGTAGTTGTCTCACCAGTGACTGCTTAGTAGTCTCCCGGCCCCCCACCACTAGTGGTTATTCTGGTGACCTGGCAGTAGTCTCCCAACACCACACTAGTAGTTGTCTCACTGGTATTTAAGCGTGGTCTCCCAGCACTGCCACCACAATGGTGCCTCCCTGGAGGTGACCTGGCAGTGATCTCCCAGCCGTACCACTGAGTAGTTGTCTACACTGGTGACCTGGCAGTAGTCCTAGCACACCACCACTAGTAGTTGTCTACAGTGTTGGTGAGCCTGGCAGTAGTCCCAGCCCACCACTAGTAGTTGTCCTACACTGAGTGACCTGGCAAGTGATCTCAGCACACCACTGTGATTGTCTTCACAAGTGACCTGGTAGTCTCCCGGCACACCACTAGTGGTTATTCTACACTGTTGACCTGTGATAGTCTCCCTAACCCCACCACTAGTAGTTGTCTACACTGGGGTGACTGGCGTCCGTCTCCTAGCCCCACCACTAATGGTTTGTTCTGCAGTGACCTGGCAGTGAGTCTCTATTTTACCAGTAGTTAACCACACTGGTGACAGCAGTGGTCTCCCAGCACCACCAGTGGTTGCTGTCTGCACTGGTGACCCAGCGTGGTCCCAGCACCACTGCAAAGTTCCACTGGTGGTGACCTGGCAGTAGTCTCCCAGCCTACTAGTGATTTGGCCTACACTGGTGACCTGGCAGAAGTGATCTCCCACCACCACCACCACTAGTAGTTGTCTGCACTGGTGACCACCAGTGTCCCAGCACCACCACCTAATGATTAGCCTACACTGGTGAGCCTGTAGTCTCGGCCACCACTAGTAGTTATACACACTGAGGTGACCTGGCAGTGATCTCCCAGCACCACCACCACTAGTAATGAACATTACCCCACTTCTTAGGTGACACCAGCAGTGATCTCCCAGCCCCCACACTACAGTTGTCTCTGGTGACCTGGCAGTGGTCTCTGGCACCACACTGGTGATTGTCTACACTGTGGTGACCTGGCAGTGAGTCTCCTAGCACCACTGATGATTGTCTACACTGGGTGACCTGGCAGTAGTCTCCAGCACCACCACTGAGGTTGTCTGGTGACCTGGCAGCAGTGCCCTCACCACTAGTAGTTGTCCTGGGCCAGCCTGGCAGGTAGTCTCAGCCCCCACCAGTGAGTTGTCTACACTGGTGGCCTGGTGGTCTCCCAGCACACACTGACTGGTTGCCACTGTGGTGGCAGTAATCTCCCCAGCCCCACAGTAGTTGTCTACACTGGCTGGCAGTGATCTCCTAGCCCACCACTGGTAGTTGTGTCTACACTGGTGACCTGGCAGTAGTCTCCCAGCCCCACCGTGGTTGTCTACACTGGTGACCTGTAGTCTCCCGGCACACCAGTGATTGTCTACACGTGACCTACATGATAGTCTCCAGCCCCCACACCAGTAGTTGTCTACACTGGTGACCTGGCGATAGTCTCCCAGCCACTACTGGCGTGTCTCCACTGTTGACCTGGCAGTAGTCTCCCAACTGCCACCAGTAGTTGTCTGCACTGGGTGACCTGGCAGTAGTCTCCCAGCCCACCACTGGTGGTTGTCTCCACTGGTGACCTGGCAGTAATCTCCCAGCACCACCAGTAGTTGTGTCTACACTGGTGACCTGGCAGTAGTCTCCCAGCCCCACCACTGGTAGTTGTCTCCACTGGTGGCTGGCAGTAGTCTCCCAGCACCACCAGTGAGTTATACACTGGTGAGCCTGGCGGTAGTCTCTAGCACCACCACTAGTAGTTGTCCACTGGTGGCTGGCAGTAATCCCAGCCCCCACCACTAGTGAGTTGTGCTCCTGAGTGACCTGGCGAGATCTCCCAGCACCACCACTAGTAGTTGTCTACACTGGTGACCTGTAGTGTCTTAGCACCACCATAATGATTGTCTACACATTGACCTGGCAGTGGTCAACCCCACACCAGTAGTTGTCTACACACTGGTGACCTGGCAGTAGTCTCAGCCCACCACTGATTGTCTACGCACTACCTGGTGACCTGTAGTAATCTCCCAGCCCACCACTATTTAGTTTAGCCTACACTGGTATTTGACCTGGCAGTAGTCTCTAGCCCACACTAGTAGTTGTCTACACCTGGTGACCTGGCAGTAGTCTCCCAGCCCCACCACCTAGTAGTTAATGCTACACTGGTGACCTGGCAGTAATCCCAGCACCACCACTAGTAGTTGTCTACACTGGTGACCTGGCAGTCTCTTCCACTAGTAGTTGTCTACACTGGTGACCTGGCAAGTAGTCTCAGCCCCACTAGTAGTTGTCACAGGCTGACCTGGCAGTGATCTCCCTAAGCCCCCACACCTAATGAGTTGTCTACCTGGGTATTGGGCTTCAGCAGTAGTCTGGCCCCCACCACTAGTGGTTGTCTCTACACTGGTGACCTGGCAGTAGTCTCCCAGCACCACCACTGGTTGTTGTCTACACTGTTATTTCTTGGTAGTCTCCCAGCCCACCACTAGTAGTTATCCCTACACTGTAGTGACCTGGCAAAATGATACCCAGCACCACCACTAGTAGTTGTCTCACTGGTGGCTTGGCAGGCAGTCTCCCATGCCACCACTGTGGTTGTCTACACTGAGAGTGACCTGGCAGTAGTCTCCTAGCACCACCACTAGTAGTTGTCTACACGGGTGACCTGGCAGTAGTCTCCCAGCACCACCACTAGTAGTTGTCTACACTGGTGACCTGGCAGTAGTCTCCCAGCCCCCACCACTAGTAGTTGTCTACACTGGTGACCTGGCAGTAGTCTCCCAGCCCCCACCACTAGTAGTTGTCTACACTGGTGACTGGCAGTAGTCTCCTAGCACCACCACTAGTAGTTGTCTACACTGGTGACCTGGCAGTGATCTCTAGCACCACCACTAGTAGTTGTCCTACACTGGTGTTTCATGCATAATGGATCTCTCTCTCTCTCTCTCTCTCTCTCTCTCTCTCTCTCTCTCTCTCTCTCTCTCTCTCTCTCTCTCTCTCTCTCTCTCTCTCTCTCTCTCTCTCTCTCTCTCTCTCTCTCTCTCTCTCTCTCTCTCTCTCTCTCTCTCTCTCCCTCTCTCTCTCTCTCTCTCTCTCTCTCTCTCTCTCTCTCTCTCTCTCTCTCTCTCTCTCTCTCTCTCTCTTCTCTCTTGTCTCTCCCTCTCTCTCTCTCTCTCTCTCTCTCTCTCTCTCTCTCTCTCTCTCTCTCTCTCTCTCTCTCTCTCTCTCTCTCTCTCTCTCTCTCTCTCTCCTCTCTCTCTCTCTCTCTCTCTCTCTCTCTCTCTCTCTCTCTCTCTCTCTCTCTCTCTCTCTCTCTCTCTCTCTCTCTCTCTCTCTCTCTCTCTCTCTCTCTCTCTCTCTCTCTCTCTCTCTCTCTCTCTCTCTCTCTCTCTCTCTCTCTCTCTCTCTCTCTCTCTCTCTCTCTCTCTCTCTCTCTCTCTCTCTCTCTCTCTCTCTCTCTCTCTCTCTCTCTCTCTCTCTCTCTCTCTCTCTCTCTCTCTCTCTCTCTCTCTCTCTCTCTCTCTCTCTCTCTCTCTCTCTCTCTCTCTCTCTCTCTCTCTCTCTCTCTCTCTCTCTCTCTCTCTCTCTCTCTCTCTCTCTCTCTCTCTCTCTCTCTCTCTCTCTCTCTCTCTCTCTCTCTCTCTCTCTCTCTCTTTCTCTCTCTCTCTCTCTCTCTCTCTCTCTCTCTCTCTCTCTCTCTCTCTCTCTCTCTCTCTCTCTCTCTCTCTCTCTCTCTCTCTCTCTCCTCTCTCTCATCTCTCTCTCTCTCTCTCTCTCTCTCTCTCTCTCTCTCTCTCTTTTATTAGTGTACAGTAGTCATCATAAATGGGTGTGTTGGAGCTGTTTGGTCCATTATACTCAAACCATTTGTTGATTTTTTAACATATTTAGCAGCCAATGGAAATTTATCTTGAAATAGTTCAAAAGAAACCATATTTTTCATACTATTAAATACTATATGTTTCACACATTAGAGCAAGGTTATATTGATGTATCACAGAATCAGCTGGACACAAAGTTAACAGTTTAATTTTTGTTTCACAAGAACTTATATGCAGGATTTTATTTTCTAAATGGATCAGTGGAGCTTCAAAATATCATCCCCTTTACTTTATATTATATTATATTTTATTTTGATGCGGTATATTTCTTTGACAGCGTCTACAGTTGGGTATATTAGTTGAGAGTCTGGAGGAACACAGCCATGTAGCAGCACTACTTGGATATGGTTCACCAGATGATACTCCGGCTTCTCTTCATGACCCCTCCATCACCTTACCCAGAGACCTGATGCACACACTACTGGCCAACCTCAGATTTCATGCTGTGAGTCTCTATTTTCATCCATAGTTTAGGTGTTGAACTTCATCTCTCTCTCTCAATAAGTAAGATCTTAGAGTGCTGGTAACTGTGTGTAATAATAATAAATAATGTTTAATTGAAAAAGTTCTGCAGCCCAAAGGCTGAAAATAGCTTATTACATACTAGGACATGGGGTAAGTGGGTTGCTTAACAAACACTTTCATTACTAAAAGGAGAAGGAACGTGAATTGGGCATACAAATTATTATAGTTTGCAGTTGATGGCCCGGGCTGGTGTCTTGCCCTACTGTGTGGTGTTCACGTGGTGCAGTGACTCGCCCTCGGGTGTTGATATGAAGGACCTCATGTGGTCATGGAGAAACCGGGTGGTGTGGTGTTCACGTTGTGTAGTGACTCGTCCTCGGGTGTTACTATGAAGGACCTCACATGGTCATGGGGACACAGTGTGGTGTGGGGTGGTGTCACAGTCCCTCACTCTCTGCTAGGTGATGTTGTGCTATCTCGTAGTCAGGTGTAAAGCCGACCCACAGATTAACACCGCCTGGTTAGAAGAAGGTGGTCGGTTCCCAGGGATGCTTATCTCACTGGTGGGTCACTGCTCTCGCTGGGACTGTCTAGTGCTGAATTCACTGGCTTAAACACTGTTCATCACTGTTCAACACTATCCCACTTCTTTCCGAAATGAAATTGTCACTTTTGATTATGTTGATATCCAGGTGGTAAGGATAGGTCGGGGAGAGGGACTTAAAGGAATGGGCCGAACCTGGCCTAACATGGGCCGAACATGGCAGGAGCAGTGTCTGAATAGGTCTTGACCCTCCGGTGGTCAAGGATGTGTGTGTGTTTGTGTTTATGTTTGTGTTTGTGTGCGTGTGTGTGTGTTTTTTTACACAGGGTGGTGAAATGCATCTAGTGTGGCAGCATTATGTTAGTGTTAAGGTGCAGACACTGCTTGTTCCCTCTCGCTTTCAGCTGCTGCCGCTGGCTAGCCCTCATGGCGAACAGGGAAGCAACATGCATAAGTCTTCCCCTGCCAGTACACAGCCTCCTCACCATCAAGACTCCTGCTGTGCCTCCTCGTGACAACACACGGTAACTGGGTGCCTTGTGGACCCAAGCTAGACCAGCAGGGGATCTTGGAGTAGCAGTGGGCTTCAAAGGGACGACGCAAAGGCTCACTGGCATGTGGACATGTCCTGGCGCCTACCAACTATTGCCTAACCTAACCTAACCATTGCCCTGTGGATTAACCTTGGTAGGTATAAGACTATGGGAGTAATCCCTGAACGAAAAATCTGAGGTGGAGCCCTGCATCAGGCAGACATGCTTACAGAGCTCCAACAAGACCCAACGGCGGTATAGGCGGATGAGGTGACCACCATGGGAACCCAACGACAACACCGGCGAACAAAGGCAATGCATGATGGACAGGCTACTAAGGTGAAACCCCACCAACTGGGCTATTGGTAATCCATTGCAATTCTTCCTCTCCCCAGTCACTGAAACACTTGCACCACTGAATCAGGAAAGGGAGAGCCAAGATGTGTGGTTGCAACCTGCGCTCCTGCCTCATCATCATCAAAACCCTGATACCCCCAAAAGTCCTATCGCGACGGACGAGTGGCTACGGGGACAGGCAGAGATGACTTGCGGGTGTCTCTAGTCACAACTCTACACATGGGTGGCACAGATAAGATGGTCATTTATGCAATCTGGTCCTGTATGTGCAACTGAGCAGCCCTTTCGAGGGGCCATTCTGCTCACCCCACATGGGGAGGGGGCTAGAAAATGTGCTCTAAACATAGCCTGCCTAAAAAACCAACCTCACTGGGCAATCGCAATCAGTAAGGTCATCCTCATGTGGTCGAAAACACAATCATAATCACAGATCAAAACAAAAACAAACTATACGACCTCTTATGGTTGCTGCATGGAATATTAAGACCCTTCGGGATACTGGCACAAATACACGTCCTGAAAGAAGAACAGCCAAGAACAGCCCTTGTGGCAAAAGAGCTGGCTAGGTACTACATCGACATAGCAGCCATTAGTGAGTCCCGGCTCCCAGACCTTCTTCTGGAAGGGTAAGCCTGCTGCGGAGAGAAACCGCATTTATGGAGTTGGCTTTGCCATCCTCTAACGCGTCCTACACAGGCTAACTGAAATGACTGTTGAGATCAACGAGCTCCTCATGACGCTCCGAGTGTCACTGAATCACTCACGTCATGACTTTTTCATCAGTGCATACGCCCCAACACTGGATGCAAAGGATGACATGAAGGAGGCCTTTTATGCCGACCTCGATAGAGTGCTAACCTCTATCCCAGAGAAGATAAGGTGACTTCAATGCCAGCGTTGGCAGAGATGCAGAGATGCTGACATTCGGCAGGGAATCAAAGGGATAAATGGACTAGGCAAGTGTAATCCCAACGGCCTACTCCTCCTCACCAATACAGGTGCTCCTCTACTTAAGAACGTTCAACTTACAAACATTCAGAGATACAAACATCATCACTAGGGGGGTTACCTGCCAGAACAGGTGTTTAATGTGGATGAGACTGGATTATTTTTAAGAAAATTCCAGATAGATTAAACATAACCTAAGCTGAGAAGATTGAGCCAGGTTTTAAGGCTGTATTAAAGGGTATAGCTGTACTGAATATGCATTATCTATTAATTTTTTACAATATGTTTGGTATCTACAAGAGTAAAGTTGGACTTACAAACAAGCCCCAGGAACGTAAGTAGAGGAGCACCTGTACCTTGTCAGAGTAAGAGATCGCCGAGAAGTCCTCATCACTTGTGCCATGCATGGCTCAGACCACTGCTACACTGATCATCGGCTTGTCAGAGCCAAGCTATCACTGCACGTTGTCCCAAAACAGTGAAGGCAGCAAGCCTCCAGAAGAGGTTTTAACACTATTCGTCTGGAGGTTCCAGCTCGAACATGGTCTGATAAACAACCCAACAACAAACAACCCAAATCCCAGTGCCAAATGGGGTATTCTCGACACCGTCATGACAAAAACCTGCATAGAGACCCTCAGCCAGATCGCAAGAATACACCAGGACTAGTTTAATGAAAATGACTGGGCAATAAATGTAGTCATCGATGATAAACGTGCTGCTCAGTCTCAGACCAAAGCTGATACCTTCCGCAAAAAGAAAGCGGCGGCCCAACGCGAACTTCACATTCGAAAGAATGACTAGTTTAAAAATAAAGCATGTGAAACACAAAAATTTGCAGATCATCACAAGATGCGTGAATTTTTCAATTCCGCTGAAACATTTTATGGGCCAATCACTCGTGGCGCAGCCCCCTTCCACTCATCCAACAGTAACTCCATAATTAAAGACGATGAAGGCCTCCTTCAGTGCTGGAAAGAGCTCTACCATTCACTGCTCAACCAAAACACTGATGTGGCTGTCCTGACCACCCAGCAGGTCCCTCAACATGCAGAGCTGACCCACCTCAGCTATCCTCCATCCCTGATGAGGTAGCTACTGCCATCAAACAGATGGAAAATAACAAAGCTGGGAAGACAAGAGTACAAATGCCAGTATTTTTGCTGACATCGACTGTAGGAGCATTACATTGGACTGGCCATGTTACCCACATGGACGACAGTAGACTGCCAAAGCAGCTACTTTACAGTCACCTAATGAATAGTAAATGTAACGCTGGCGGGCAACTGAAAAGGTAGAAGGATAGTCTTGAGACAATCCTGAAAAAGTACCAAATTGACCCCCTCACCTGAGAGACGATTACTCCACACCGTAATGCTTGGAGGAGCACCACACAAGAAAGTGTCAATACTTTAGAGTTAGCCCAACTGCATAGCGAGATAGACAAGCGCCAATGATGGAAAGGCGATGCTGCCGCCCTTCCCGCACTAGATGTAGCCTCCCACGTGTGCAACATCTGTGAACAACTCTGCCGGTCCCGTATCGGCCTCTTTAGTCACCTCAAAACTCACCAGCCTAGGTAACATCCCTAATAACTAATATCATTGTATCATAGCTGGATTTGTCATACTTGCTTCCGAGTGACAGCAAAGTAGTAGTAGTAGGCATGACGAAGGAAATTTGTTGAAGGAAATCTGTTGTGATGTCAGGGTAGAACCGACCCTCCTTCCATTGGACGGTGAGAATTTCCAACATAGGACTTCAAACACATCCAACGAAGCCCGTGTTGACGTCAGTGCTCGAGAATTCTGGACGCGGGGACAGCGAGCCTTCTTCGACATCAGGATTTTTTATCCCATGGCCGCATGTCACCGTAACTTAGCTCTCGATGCTGCACACAGGAGGAACGAGAACGACAAGATAAGGGCATACGAGAGCTTCGGCCCCAAAGCCGACAACAGTTGCAGATATTGACTGTGAGGCTACAGTCACTGAATGCCGCAGAGATCTGCGGCTCAACTAATTCAACACAGCTAGGATAGCTACTTATGTATTAGGATATTTAATATTAAGGTAATAAAATGGCGGCGAAGGTGTGGCTATTGGTGGAGGCTGGAGGCCACGTTTAAAAGAAAAAAAAAGTAGTAGTAGTATTGTGTGTGTCACTACATTTCAGGAACACTTGTATGATCTTCACTATGTTTCAGGAACATCAGCTTAACCAGATCCTTGAAGAAGAGAAGCCAGGTAAGAAAACATTTGTTAAAGGCAAGAATGTTGTGCTACAAGATGGCTGTGTGGTGAGCAGTGACTTGATCTCTCAAAAAGCACCGCCTCAGGAGAACAATGCGGAGAATCAGGAATGCACTGTCCCTCCTCAGCTGCTTGAGGCTCATCCAAAGTGGTCAATGGCATCAACAGGTAGACACCGTAAACGTATATTATCTGTATTCATTTTGGGACCGTGTTTGATGTTGGACAGCATATACTAATGATCACTGGAGTCTTTGTTTCTCTATCATCTTTTGAGAATTTCTTCAATGAATTTTGGAGAGCCACGTACCATAAATGATGAAATATATAATCTAGTCTTTTTTCTGTAGTATGTTTCATGTAACAAAATCTGGAATACTGTATACAGAATGCTTCTTAAATGTACTATACATATTGTAAATCTCAGGGAGTATTCTTGAGACGAAGGTAAAGAAAAAACCATAAACCTAGGTGGAGACACTTGCAGGTCTGGAGCTATAACACAAGAAAGAGGAACTGTGAGGTAAAGCAAGTAACACAAAATGAAACTTTTTATGATGTTATACATTGTAAGCAAATATACTGTACAGTGTGATACATTTACTTCATAAAAGTATATGTTCATAATTCTTTCCTACTAATACAAGTACAGTGCTGCTGCTGCTTCAGTATCATTAAAGAGTCTGAGTGTTACTCGGCAGATTATCCTGGATGATTGGTGTTCTGTCTGTGTTGTTTATGTTGCTGTGTTGATAATCACCTGTTTTCATGCCGACATTGTTTATAGGTGAAGCAAACTGTTGGAGGGACGGTGTGACAGCATGCATACCGTACTTAGCTGGTGGAAAGAACTGACAACAACAACAACAAGTATTAAAGAACGTCAAGAAGAGTGGACACATGGGCAGACACTACTGGAAACCATCTTATTCTCCCATATCTCCTACTGTAGTGGCTGACTGCAGATTCGAATAGTCATTTCCTGAGCAGACTTTAGCCAATGCTACTTGAAGATTTGCTCATCAGAACTTGACTTATGTAGTTCATGCTTGATGGTGCAAGAGCTTGTGTACCCCATTTAATGAATTAATATTTCCATTTTGTGTACCCTGACAGGTGGACCTATTCTATGGCCACCTCGATCACCAGATTTAGATCCTCTTGGTGATTTAAGATGCCTAATTATACTACACAAGTGCACGCACATGTTGAATTGTAGCAACAAGAGTGAGATAGTTGTGAAACTCTGGGAAACTTAGAGCTTGTGAAAACCACTGGTGCAACATGCTGAGTCATTCATTTATGTACGTACTAGGAAAGAACTTTGAACATTTTCTGTAACGAAGTAATTGTATCACACTGTGCAGTGTTTGTAAAAAATTTAATAATGATTACAGATTAAGTAATGTGCTGCATTTAGCTCACACTTCCTCCAGACCATTCATGCACTATAGCTCAAACTCTATTAGTGTCTCCACCTATGTCAATATTTTTTTTTACTTAACTTTCAAGAATTTTCCCTGAAATTTATGAAACACATTTATGATCACCCTGTATTAGTGCCCCTAATATGTGTACAGTACTAGGAGTCAGAGTTTATGGTTATATGTTTGATATTCAGTACATTATTGTGTCTATATTATGTGAAAGAATAGACTTTTGTTGTAATAATCAGTTTTGTATTGAAGGGGTTGATGACCGGGAAGGACAAGACAGTTACCAAGACGACTGTGATACTACACGTCAGTACATAGACTCCCAACTTGGTGGCACTCACCCTCAGCATCTACTTCGGCTTCTCTCTAACCTTCATTCACATCTCTTGGCTTATTGTACACATCACCAGTCTGAGGAGGTTTGTATAGTCACTATGATATAGTTTGATTTGATATATTATACAGTTGTTGAAGGAACAAGTCTGGGAAAGAAGCACACTCAGACAGGTGGTCCCCCCTTTTATTCCGGATCTTTGAGGGTTCACTGTATATATAATACAGCATGCCCTTCAAATTTGCGAATTTTTATTTTGCGGTCCTCTATTATTCGTGGATGACACCCTGGATGTACTCAAGAATGTCTGTGGGTAGTTTTAAAGTTGTTGGCATTTTCGAGGACGGGACAGGGAGCCATTCGTTCTAGAGACAGTAATTTCCTTTACCTGTATAATATATATGTGTGTGTTTGTAGACACACATACACACAAAATACATACAAATAAATAAGAATGGGAAAATCATCTCACAAATAATCAGAAACAAATGTATTAAAAATGTTGAGTCTACCCTCAAGTCCACTTTGGTTTTAGTAGCAGGCCTTGTGGTGACCACATCCACCACACCTTAGACTCTACATGTATTGTCTCGACATTTAAAATCTTTCTTACAATCAGTTTTAAGTTTCCCAGATTCAAAATCATAAACTTGGATACACAGCAAAAAGTGGAAAAAATTTAATCAGTTATAGGAACTTCAGAAAAAAGTACAATATAATAAAAATTTATTTTGTAATACTGCACTGAACTGTACTATAAGTTTGTATTATAAGTAAAAAAATTATTCTCAGAATTCAGCAAGTATGAGACTTTTGTACCAACACTTGGGAGAACTGTTTGAGATGTGTGGTGAGCTGCTGAGTCGGACATCAAGGCTTCTTGCCTCCCATCCTGGATTGGCTCATCTCATCCATGGCAAGTATTTTCTTCTTCAAACCTTCAGTTTACAGAATTGGATAAGGTCACATTTTTTCCACATAATCACTTTACTTTTCAACACACTTGGTCCAGCATGGCACAAGGTTATAATCATATGAATAAGATTTCAGTAACACGCACACACACACACACACATGCACGCACGCACGCTCACACACACACACACGCATGCATGCACACACAGAAAAAATCCCCAATATGTTGAAATAAAGGAGATGTAGAATATGATAGGAAAGGGTAAACATTATCCAATATGTAAATGATCCACAGCTGCTTGGTGTAGCAGGACCACACAGGAGGTAACCTATGTACTAGCCAACACACCTCCCTAGTTGTAACTGTGTACTAGCCAGCACACCTCCCTAGTTGTAACCTGTGTACTAGCCAACACACCTCCCTAGTTGTAACCTATGTACTAGCCAACACACCTCCCTAGTTACAACTGTGTACTAGCCAACACACCTCCCTAGTTGTAACCTATGTACTAGCCAGCACACCTCCCTAGTTGTAACCTGTGTACTAGCCAACACACCTCCCTAGTTGTAACCTATGTACTAAGCCAACACACCTCCCTAGTTGTAACCTGTGTACTAGCCAACACACCTCCCTAGTTGTACCCTGTGTACTAGCCAACACACCTCCCTAGTTGTAACTGTGTACTAGCCAACACACCTCCCTAGTTGTACCCTGTGTACTAAGCCAACACACCTCCCTCGTTGTACCCTGTGTACTAGCCAACACACCTCCCTAGTTGTACCCTGTGTACTAGCCAACACACCTCAAGTACTAAATTCCCTTTTCATCTTTCTTTTCCTTTAAGTTTGTCATAATATGTTTGTGTCGCTAACGGTCTCTCATATATTGTCTGGCTTAATCCCTTAGTTAGGCAGGTCTGGTAATATAGGGCTGCACACTAACATGTTTTATGATGCTAGATTATCCCCATAATGTTAAGCAGGGGCAGACCCATGGTTTTATGAGGGAGGATTAAGATTTTGAATAAACGAAAATAAAGTCACGTGATTAATGTCATAAAAGTCGTCATATTGGCTAGGAAAATGTCACATTTTATTTAAATATTAGAAACAAGTGAAACATTATGCTCCACATTCCCACATGCCAGGCGCATTGGTGGCCTAGCTGCTTGGATCGCTTAGTTCATATGCTGCTGCTGTTTTTGTGTACAATTCGTGTTGTGTAGTACTGCACATTACTGCACCAAAACATATTCAGCCAAGAATGCAGTGTGGGGATATGGAATTTTTCTGTGTTTGAGAGTCTTGTGTTACCCAGAAATTGCTCATCCCCGGGAAAAGAGCTGTGCGCCAATTGTTCCGGCTAACGGGGATATCACTTTGATGTTCTGGTTATAGCTGTAAGTAGTGTCAACCCCTGGAGCTTATTGTCTCTGTCTTCCTCCTTTACCAGCTGGCTGTAAGCACCAGAATCACCCATTCCATTGGTCTTCAAATGGAATTTTATAATGAACCATGGATTGGGTGACTCAGATCCCTCCCTCCTCCTGTAGGTGCTGAGGCAAGGTGGAAATTGGTGAGTTGTCCAGTTTGTGACTAAAGGCAACATGGATCTTAGAACACAGGTGTGTTAATGTGATGGAATTATTAACCTCCATTTTTATGGATTCCATATCCAAGATGTTCTCCAGAGAAGTAACTTGAAGGTTTACTGTACAGTATACAGTTCTTTCATGTTGTTGCACTACTTTTTCTTATACACCCTCACCTTGCACATTCATGCTAATTTGTATCCCACCATGGCCAAATTTCCAAAAACCCCGAATTAGCAGAATAAGCATTATAAATAGGTGAAAATTTACTAAAAAGGTTTATTGACATATTTAGGCTTGAATATGGAATTTATTAAGCTGTCATAATGATTGCATATTTTCTTTAAATTTCAAAACAATTAATGTAATGTTTTTGTCAGTTTCAAACTAATTTTTTGTGAAACGAGCTCGGACGAGCAATAAACAAGGTAAGTGGGCAGTGGTCAGAAAAATAAATGGATTTGCGGAAAAATAGACTTCTGAAACACGACTTTGCTGCGTCAGGGTGTAATTTATTCATGTTAATGTTGTTAAACATATTGTCACGTGATCAAGTGTGATTATGAGCTGAAGGAAAATTGGGTAATTGAATATTTGATGTATTGCAGACGTTGTGTATCGCAGCGTGTGTGGGTGGGTGTTGGCCCACGTGGTGTACGCCTTGCTGCTCTTCCCAGCAAGGTTGGTTCGACCGCTTCTAGGACCACTAAGAGCCATTCTTCCTATCCTTGACTCTACAAACCGAACAATAGCATCAGTCACTTCCTTTACTGATCAAGAGGATGTTACATCAGGTAAGTTTCCCTAAATAAAGTCATATTTGTGCAGATCTGTGAGGCATTAGAGACCTATAAGAGTTTATATGAAGGTCACTTGTTGAAGCTACACAGTGGGTACAGTATATAGAGAGGGTAATACAATACTGTGTATAATTAAAGTACAGTATTTCAACAGCAATTGTTGGGAAATTAGATGGTATGTTTTATCTGTGTACAGTACAGTATAGTGATGGTTGTGTCTAGGTTATGAGATGATATGTTTTATCTGTGTACAGTACAGTATAGTGATGGTTGTGTCTAGGTTATGAGATGATATGTTTTATCTGTGTACAGTACAGTATAGTGATGGTTGTGTCTAGGTTATGAGATGGTATGTTTTATCTGTGTACAGTACAGTATAGTGATGGTTGTGTCTAGGTTATGAGATGGTATGTTTTATCTGTGTACAGTACAGTATAGTGATGGTTGTGTCTAGGTTATGAGATGGTATGTTTTATCTGTGTACAGTACAGTATAGTGATGGTTGTGTCAGTACAGTATAGTGATGGTTGTGTCTAGGTTATGAGATGGTATGTTTTATCTGTGTACAGTACAGTATAGTGATGGTTGTGTCTAGGTTATGAGATGGTATGTTTTATCTGTGTACAGTACAGTATAGTGATGGTTGTGTCTAGGTTATGAGATGGTATGTTTTATCTGTGTACAGTACAGTATAGTGATGGTTGTGTCTAGGTTATGAGATGGTATGTTTTATCTGTGTACAGTACAGTATAGTGATGGTTGTGTCTAGGTTATGAGATGGTATGTTTTATCTGTGTACAGTACAGTATATTGATGGTTGTGTCTAGGTTAGAAACGTGGATCACTGTTTCTTCATTTCGTCATGCTCTCTAGTTATGATGTACTTTACAGTGAGTAAACAGTGAACTGTGAACCTCGTGTTGTTAAGAAGAGAGATTGTTCCCTGTTTCTTGTAGAGTTAAATTTAACAAAGGAAAACACACACAACAATTTACCTCCTCATTTTCATTAGACTCCTTGAAAGAACTTGTTAGTATGGAATTAGATTGATTGATTGCCTCAGGGATTGTTTACCCAGCTGTGTCACCTAAGAGTGCTGCATATAATGCCCAGTTACCACAGTGTAAAAGTGGGGTGACGACAGGAAAATCATCCAGCCATTAAACTTGCTCCTCATTTGTCTGATGACAACTGGGATACAATGCCTTACCAGTTATGGAAATGTCTTTAAATTACTGATGATGACTTACAAAATGTGTATTATTTATTATTTCTATAATTAAATGAAAACAGTTAACCTTCAAGCTTTCTGGGCAGTGGAGTACTGTCCGTTAATTACTGGGCAGTGGAGTACTGTCCGTTAAGTACTGGGCATTGGAGTACTGTCCGTTAAGTACTGGGCAGTGGAGTACTGTCCGTTAATTACTGGGCAGTGGAGTACTGTCCGTTAAGTACTGGGCAGTGGAGTACTGTCCGTTAAGTACTGGGCAGTGGAGTACTGTCCGTTAATTACTGGGCAGTGGAGTACTGTCCGTTAAGTACTGGGCAGTGGAGTACTGTCCGTTAAGTACTGGACAGTGGAGTACTGTCCGTTAAGTACTGGGCAGTGGAGTACTGTCCGTTAAGTACTGGGCAGTGGAGTACTGTCCGTTAATTACTGGACAGTGGAGTACTGTCCGTTAAGTACTGGGCAGTGGAGTACTGTCCGTTAAGTACTGGCTGTCCGTTAAGTACTGGGTGCTGTCCGTTAAGTACTGGAGCAGTGGAGTACTGTCAGTTAAGTACTGGACAGTGGAGTACTGTCCGTTAAGTGGGCAGTGGAGTACTGTCCGTTAAGTACTGGGCAGTGGAAGTACTGGGCAGTGGAGTACTGTCAGTTAAGTACTGGACAGTGGAGTACTGGGCAGTGGGTACTGTCTGTTAGAGTACTGGGCAGTGAGTACTGTCCGTTAAGTACTGGGCAGTGGGTACTGTCCGTTAAGTACTGGGCGGTGGAATACTGTCCGTTAAGTACTGGGCAGTGGTACTGTCCGTTAAGTACTGGGCAGTGGAGTACTGTCTGTTAAGTACTGGGCAGTGGAGTACTGTCCGTTAAGTACTGGGCGGTGGAGTACTGTCCGTTAAGTACTGGGCAGTGAGTACTGTCCGTTAAGTACTGGGCAGTGGAGTACTGTCTGTTAAGTACTGGGCAGTGGAGTACTGTCCGTTAAGTACTGGGCGGTGGAGTACTGTCCGTTAAGTACTGGGCAGTGGAGTACTGTCCGTTAAGTACTGGGTGGTGGAGTACTACGTGGTGGAGTACTGGTTGGTGGAGTACTGGATGGTGGAGAACTAGGTGTTGGAGTACTGGGTGGTGGTGTACTGGGTGGTGGTGAACTGAGTGGTGGTGTACTGGGTGATAGAGAACTAGGTGGTGGAGTACTAGGTGGTAGAGAACTAGGTGGTGGAGTACTGGGTGGTGGAGTACTGGATGGTGGAGAACTAGGTGTTGGAGTACTGGGTGGCGGTGAACTGAGTGGTGGTGTACTGGGTGGTGGAGAACTAGGTGGTGGAGTACTAGGTGGTAGAGAACTAGGTAGTGGAGTACTGGGTGGTAGAGAACTAGGTGGTGGAGTACTGGGTCGTGGCATAGCTGGATTAAGTGTTTTGGTAGGCCACTAAATTTCCTGAAGCACCATTATGTGCCTTATTTTACCTTCACGACCTCCAAACATTACGCCAACACTGTGCGTGCTGCAACCTATGGGTAACAGCAACTAATGGGTTAGTTGACACTGGTAGAGACGCTGAGATGTCTGTTTTATTGCGGTTTTTGCCTGTTAAATCTAACAAATATACTCGTTCTTATTAGACTTAGGATAATTATGGATTTGCATATGTGCATAAGCAAATGCTTATTTTAGCATTTTTTGGAGCTTAAGTGCATATTCATTATTTTTCTGTTTCATAAGGCATAGTTTTGGAAAATTCTAAGGTATTATGATAAATGCTTCAACCTGTTTTGGCATTTAGAATTGTAATACGGTATCTAAAAGCAATATACATTGGGTACTCACTGATGTCATAAATAATGATCGTACACCACCTTCAGCTGCTAGAGAGGCATTATCTCAAAAAAATTAATTAGGTCAATTAAAAACAGCAGTCTTGAGCGTCATATGGGATGACATTCTACAAAGGATTAATATCGTGAACAAGGCACTGCAAGAACCAAGGATAGAAATTTGTACAGTAGTAAAACTTTTTGACAGTTTGATTGCACAACTTTGTGTGTATTCATGAGAAGTTTGATGAATTTGAGGCAAAAGCTCGTGACATGACTACATCTGGATATAAAGAAACAAGGACTTGATCCTCAGGACCAGGAAGTGCTAGCAACAGATTTCGAACACAGACATTCATTCTATTATTGATAGGTTGCTGGTCGAAATGAGGAAGCAATGCTCAGCATATGAAAAGCTCGAGGAATGATTTGGTTTCCTCCTTGATTCCTCACTATCAAGGGAAACAATTTCAAGCAAAGCAGGTGAGTTGGTGAATGTCTACAAGGATGACATTGAATCCGTGTTCACTGAGGAGTTTCTGTTGTTTAAACAAATGTTTCCCAACACAAGTCAGTGGCAGCATTACTGAAAACTCAGGTAACCAAGGGGCTGGTCAATAGCTTTCCGAATGTGAGCATAGTTTTTAGAATATATTTGTCAATACTCGGTAACAGCAGTGAAGGTGGGAGGTCATTTTCCAAGCTTAAAAGAATTAAAAACTGTCTAAGATCTACGATGGGCCAGAGTCGCCTATCATCACTGGCGTTACTCAACATAGAGAGAGATTATGTTTAAAAGTTGGACATTCAGGACATTATTGAAGACTTTGTCGCAGCCAAGAGCCGAAAAGTGTGATTTGTATGAAATTAGAATCACTGATAAATTGATAATAGTAGTTGAATTGGGTTACTTATTATTTTGAGGATTGATAAAAACTCTACATTTGTTTTGCAGTATGTCTAAGAATAAAGTTGCTCATTTATTCATTTTGTGATTATTTACACCATTGTGACTTCTACTCAATCATAATTAGTTTCTGGCAAGTCAGGTTTAAAGGATGTCTAAGCAATAACCAAGCAGATACTAAATTAAAGTTTATAATCACTTAGTCTTATGACTACAATCAATTTCTCTCCTGTCAAATTTTTCGATTATTTTCCTTTACCCTGTTGGAACATAAAGGTTATTAGGCCAGACCACAGTGAAAATACATACATTATATCTCAAATTTCGTAGACCCCTTAAACCTTCGTAGGCCTTGGGTACTGTGCCCACTTGATAATTCGGCCCTGGGTGGTGGAGTACTGGGCAGTGGAGTACTGGGTTATGGGGCACTAGGTGGTGGAGTACTGGGTGGTGGAGTACTAGGTGGTGGAGTACTAGGTGGTGGAGAACTAGGTGGTGGAGTACTGGGTGGTGGAGTGCTGGGTGATGGAGTACTAGGTGGTGGAGTACTGGGTAGTGGAGTGCTGGGTGATGGAGTACTAGGTGGTGGAGTACTGGGTGGTGGAGTACTGGGCAGTAGAGTGTAGGGCAGTGGAGTGCTGGGTGATGGAGTACTGGGTGGTGGAGTACTGGGTGGTGGAGTACTGGGCAGTAGAGTGTAGGGCAGTGGAGTGCTGGGTGATGGAGTACTGGGCAGTGGAGTATTGGGTGATGGAGTACTGGGCAGTGGAGTATTGGGTGGTGGAATGCTAGGTGGTGGAATAATGAATGGTAGAGTACTGAATGGAGCAGTAGTGCAAATGGTGGAGTACTGGGTGATGGAGCAGTGTAAGTAGTGGAGTACTGTAATGGGCAGAGTACTGTACTAGGTGGAGGAGTTGTGTAAGTGGAGTTATGAGGGCTGGAGTACTGTACAAGGTGGAGGAGTAGTGGAGTGTGGTGGATGATCATGGCATTATTACAGAGGTGGACACCCCAACTCCAGACACAGTCAAGAGTGTGGGAGGAGGAGTGGTGGGGCGTCAGTGGGCCTGGCTCTTGGACGTGGAGCGAGCGTGCGGGCTGGTGGTTGGACGGTGCCTGGAGGGAATGTTGCTGGGGCCGCCTCTAACATCCAATGAGTTGAGGAGCAAACCTTGGCTCTCCATGGAACTCTTCTCCTGTGGTTTGGCTGTTGAAAATTTATGTCCAGGTGAGATATACAGAACTGTAATTACTGTATCACTGAAAACTGTTACAGTATAACCTGAAGTATTGTATAATATTCATGTTATGTTAAGGATTTGGTTCTTTTTAGGTTATATATGTTGTTATAATTCCTGTTTCCTTGATATGAGGTGAATTAAAAGTCATTCTTCATCTTGATGTGTCATTTCTTAATCCATTTCCTTTAACAGAAAAAGTCAGTGTATCCATTGGTCATATATTGAGTATATTGGAGTGTGGGAAGGAGGTAATCGTGGAAGCCTTGCATAACTTTGCTTCAACCTACACACAACTCACAACCCCTCTCATCACTGTTCTTGAATCAAGTAAGTTTTATTAATATGTGACCTGCATAAGATAGACTGCCTACCTCATCTGTGGGTTACCAACTCCTCAACTTATGGTAAATTATGTTAACATTAAAAAATTTTGTATTCAAAATAATTGATATTTGTATATACTGCAGTGATGAAGATATATCCTAAAACATCTTGATTTACTTTCGTGTTATACGAAAATTTATTACATGAAATTGAGATGGTGACTACACCTCGATAATGACAATGAAGTCATTGAGCCTTTAAAGTCTCTGATATGAGCTCCATCTCTTCTTACTACACCTATTAATTACCTGTGTCACAAGTAGCCTACCCATCTAGATTAGTCTCTTGTAGGAGCTTTCTGGAGGGATAAGTATGATTCTATGACTTTTTGTTTCATTATTGATTTATTTATCACCTGAGCTTATATGAGAGTGACTCCTGGATATGTCCACCTCAGACTCAGGAGTCAAGGAAGGCCTAAAGCTACACTATACAGTATTACCCCGCTTTACGCGGTTTCACTTTACGCGATTTCTCATATACGCGGTGCCTCACCAGAACCGCCAGAACCGAACTTTCACTTTCCGCGGTTCATCTACCCATATACGCGTGAAGTATAATTTTTTTTTTTATTTAGCTCATAAAATTCATACAAATTACCCGGCCAGAATATAATTTACATTGCTGGAATTCTTACAATATGATGATCATTTTGAATATAAACATCATAGCTTTTGCATTAGACATACAAATTTTAGATCTAATGTTTACTCTGAGTAAATATGTTATCTTTTGTGCAAAATATATGACATTTATATTCAAAATATTCCTGGTCTTACAAGGAATCCAGCAATGTCAATTATATTATCCTAACTTTAGTCTGAGGTATTATTTATTACTAAAAAGGTAAATATTATGGTTTTCCCACACATTTATCTGGTAGGGAGGGTTGGTGGGGGGTGGAGGGGAGGGAGGGACCGACCGACCATCTGGCACAGTGTGAAGAATATTTTTTTTTTTATTAACTGAAGATATTTGTTTTAGCTCATAAAATTCATACAAATTACCCGGCCAGAATATAATTTACATTGCTGGAATTCTTACAATTTGATGATCATTTTGAATATAAACATCATAGATTTTGCATTAGACATACAAATTTTAGATCTAATGTTTACTCTGAGTAAATATGTTATCTTTTGTGCAAAATATATGACATTTATATTCAAAATGTTCCTGGTCTTACAAGGAATCCAGCAATGTCAATTATATTATCCTAACTTTAGTCTGAGGTATTATTTGTTACTAAAAGTTAAAATTAGTTTTTTCACCCAACATTTCTCTGGTAGGGAGGGAAGGTGGGGGGTGGGGGGAGGGTTGGGACCGACCGACCATCTGGCGCGGTTGGAAGAGGGGGGGAGGCAAGGTGGGGTACTTTGATTGACAGATAGTGTCGTGAAGAATATTTTTTTTTTTATTAACTGAAGATATTTGTTTTAGCTCATAAAATTCATACAAATTACTGGACCAGAATATAATTTACATTGCTGGAATTCTTACAATATGATGATCATTTTGAATATAAACATCATGGATTTTGCATTAGACATACAAATTTTAGATATAATGTAATAATTTGGTTTACACAAAGCAAGTATTTTATCTTTAGTGCAAAATATATGAAGTTTACATTCAAAATATTCCCTGACCTGCAAGGAATCCAGAAATGTCAATTATATTATCCTAACTTTAGTCTGAGGTATTATTTATTACTAAACGTTAAAATCTAGTGTTTCACCCAATCATTTCTCAGAGAGGTAGGGGCCAGTGAGCTGGGAAGAGGGGGGATGATTTGAGTCTATTATTTGAATGGACATTAACCTGGCGACTGTATTAACCTTAAATATTAATTGTGTGAGCATACCATCATAAAATTTAGATGTTATTTTTACTGCAACATAGGTATTGTGTCAGAAAAAGTGGAGTTTGGGGGTCGGGCCAGTCTATTGGAATTAATCCCATATGTTCTGTTGTTCCATTTACGCGGATTTCACTTTCCGCGGTACCCTGTGGGTTCAATTGACCGCGTAAATCGGGGTACTACTGTACTATGTATTTCCACTATAACCTGGCTTGTAAGCCATGCCCCTCATCTTTAGCTACAAGTAGCTGATTGGTTCATAGAAAATGTTCGTGTAGCTGTCCATTTATTCACAATAGGTAAGCAGATCTCTTATTATCTAAAATAATGTTTAATAACTGGACTATCAAAATGCAAATGATTTCAAGGCATTAGCACTTCAGAGAGATGTTAGAAAAACTTAAATATTTATCATAAAAGGTCGAAGTCAAAGATGATTTTCACTTTCGAATTAATTCTTTTCATTATTTCTGGGTGTTGTACCAAACAAAAAGCAAACAGAAACAAATGATACCAAAAATATAGCACAATAGATAATGAACTACAGCTTGTACAGCTGTATATATACCAAATAATTTACTATATAGCTGATACAACTCAGTATAAATACGCGGAGTCTGGGGAGAGTTAAAACGCTCAGGAGAATAGCCACGGGACTTGGCGGTCACATTGATGGGGTGATCAACCGACAGTGACAGATCAGCTGGACACTTGATTCGTACTGCCAGTACGATAAAGCTGGCCTTAGACACACACATTAACTATACCACTTCCATCATTGGTAGAGATTTTTGTTCATTTTCACCAAATGTCTTGATACATGATGACAATGTTAAACCTCTACATCGCTTCTTAATACTTGGTACCATATATTATTACTTGAATCTTGTCACAATGCAGTATTTAAGATGGGGAGATGACAAGTTAGTGGATAAAATATTTAATAATCTGCTCGTTGGTGTGAAAAATGTTTTTGTTGGTTAAGTACCACAGCGCTGACATCTGTTGTCAGTTAGAGTTGACATCTGCTGGCTGTTGTGCATCGAGATGAGTGATATTCCCACCAAGTCCAGTGGCTGTTCCCCTGAGCGTTTTAACACCCCCAGACTGCCCTTATATAAGTGTGTATTTATATCGAGTTTTATATATATATATATATATATATATATATATATATATATATATATATATATATATATATATATACAGTTGTACCCCACTTAACGCGGTCAATTGAACCCAGAGGGTCCCGTGTTAAGTGAAATCCGCGTTAAGTGAACAACAGAACATATGGGATTAATTCCAATAGAAACCGGCCTGACCCCCAAACTCCACTTTTTGAAGGCACATACCTATGTTGTAGTAAAAATAACATCTTAATATTATGATGGTACATGCACACAATTAATACTTAAGAGAAATGAACAACATAACATATGGGATTAATTCCAATAGAGACTGGCCCGACCCCCAAACTCCACTTTTTCCGACACAATACCTATGTTGTAGTAAAATAACATCTTAATTTTATGATGGTATGCTCACACAATTAATATTTAAGAGAAATACAGTCGCCAGGTTAATGGCCATCCAAATAATGGACTCAACTCCCACTCTCACTACACTGCCGGCCTTCCTCTCAGAGAAATGGGGGAAAACCACTAAATTTTAATAAATAATACCTCAAACTAAAGTTAGATACAGAGACTGACACTGCTGATTCGAATATTTTGAATATAAATGTCATATATTTTGCACAAAAGATAACATAGTTAATTTGAGAAAAATTTTTATCTAAAATTTGTATGTTTAATGCAAAAATATGATGTTTATATTCAAAATGATCATCAAATTATAAGAATTCCAGCAATGTAAATTATATTCAGACCGGATAATTTGTATGAATTTTATGAGCTAAAACAAATATCTTCAGTTAATAAAAAAATAATAATCTTCAGGACACTATCTGTCAATCAAAGTACCCCACCTTGCCTCCCCCCCCTCTTCCAACCGCGCGGTCAGTCCCAACCCCACCCCCCACCAATCCTCCCTTCCAGAGTTTTTAACATTTAGTATTAAATAATACCTCAGATTAAAGTTAGGATAATATAATTGACATTGCTGGATTCCTTGTAAGACCAGGAATATTTTGAATATAAATGTCATATATTTTGCACAAAAGATAACATAGTTAATTTGAGAAAAATTTTTATCTAAAATTTGTATGTTTAATGCAAAAATATGATGTTTATATTCAAAATGATCATCAAATTATAAGAATTCCAGCAATGTAAATTATATTCAGACCGGATAATTTGTATGAATTTTATGAGCTAAAACATATCTTCAGTTAATAAAAAAAAAAATAATTCTTCACAGGGTAACAGATGGTCGGTCGGTCCCTCCCTCCCCCCCACCAACCGTCCCAAGGAGATGTGTGGGATAACCACTAAATTTTAATAAATAATACCTCAAACTAAAGTTAGGATAATATAATTCACATTGCTGGATTCCTTGTAAGACCAGGAATATTTTGAATATAAATGTCATATATTTTGCACAAAAGATAACAGTTAATTTGAGAAAATTTTTTATCTAAAATTTGTATGTCTAATGCAAAAATATGATGTTTATATTCAAAATGATCACCAAATTATAAGAATTCCAGCAATGTAAATTATATTCTGGCCGGGTAATTTGTATGAATTTTATGAGCTAAAACAGGCAGTCAGGCAGGGTGGGACAAATCTAAAAATAGCGTCTCGAGCCGGACACTCACCGCGTATATGTGGAAAAAATCCGTGTTAAGTGAAAGTTCAGCTCTGGCGAGGCACCGCGTATATGATAAAACGCGTTAAGTGAAACCGCGTTAGGCGGGGTAATACTGTATATATATTATTTCATTTCACTTCATTGGAAGAAGGCTAAATCCTTGGTCTTCAAATTTTATTCAAAAACCTAGTATTACAAAACTAAATTATAGAGTAAAATGCGTGTTAAAGTTTTATATGCCCATTTTCCCAAGTAGAAGCACAGTAGCCATCACGTCTGGAAGAGCACTGAGTGAACATTAACCCCATGTTGCCTGGGCTAGGGAGTCGAGGACATGGATGGGTAGTGTCTGGAGTGAGCCACCAGTGTCATCATAGCAACTGCACAACAACACAGCCATAAGCTCACCTAAACATCCTCTGATGTCGGACAGCTCTTTATGTGTTTTCCTCTCAAACATCACATGATGTCCGCCAACACTTAAGGGTTTAGCTCCGGCACAGAAGCATGTGCTGCCACCCCTATCTCTCACTTATATATGAACAACTGTACCAGTATACAGATAAAATAAAGGTGTTATTTCTTTCATGGAGAAGGCAGGAAGGTTACTGAGGTCCAAGGGCCCTTAAACCATATACAACACCAGTGGCCCAAGATGTCTCTCCTGGGTCATGCCCAGGGCCCCAATTATGCAAAATTTAGTGAAGGTTCGGTGTAATTGATTTTCATGCTGGAAACCTTAACATTTCACCTGACATAATACAGTTTCATTGTTTCAGAATGTTGCTGTGTTGACTGACATATTCTGCCATATTTCAGAGAGTCAAGTGATGCTGTGGATGGATGAGATGGCATGTGGTGAGGACTGGGACACTTGTGAGGTGAAAGAAGATGTCCTCTTAGACATTACCACACAGTTACTGCTCTCAACATTCCTCATGCACACCAGTATCTCTCAGACACAACTCGGGTATGTTACATTGTAAACTTTGGTCAAAAGAATCAACAACAGAATAAATGTAAAAATGAAGAACAATAAAAAATACAAAACAATAAAATAAAATATAAATCTTAAAGAAAATCTGTGGCAAAATTTATAAAATTGTTGTTCTGAACACAGAGAGAGAGGGAGGGACACAGAGAGAGAGGGAGGGACACAGAGAGAGGGAGGGACACAGAGAGAGGGAGGGACACACAGAGAGAGGAGAGAGACACAGAGAGAGAGACACAGAGAGAGAGGGACAGAGAGAGAGGGACACAGAGAGAGACACACAGAGAGAGAGAGAGAGACACGGGAGAGTGGGAGGGACCAGAGAGAGAGAGAGAGAGAGACCTAGAGAGAGAGAGAGAGAGACAGAGAGAGAGAGGGACACAGAGAGAGTGGGAGGGACACAAGAGAGAGAGAGAGAGAGACAGAGACAAGAGAGAGGAGGGAGGGACAAGAGAGAGAGAGAGAGAGAGAGAGAGAGAGAGAGAGAGAGAGAGAGAGAGAGAGAGAGAGAGAGAGAGAGGACAAGAGAGAGAGAGAGAGAGAGACACAGAGAGAGAGGAGGGACACAGAGAGAGGGAGGGACACAGAGAGAGAGGGGGGACACAGAGAGAGTGGGAGGGACACAGAGAGAGAGAGAGAGAGAGACACAGAGAGAGAGAGAGAGGAGGGGACACAGAGAGAGGGAGGGACACAGAGAGAACAGAGAGAGAGAGAGAGAGACACAGAGAGAGAAGGAGGGACACAGAGAGAGTGGGAGGACACAGAGAGAGAGAGAGGGACACAGAGAGAGGGGGGGACACAGAGAGAGAGAGAGACACAGAGAGAGTGGGAGGGACACAGAGAGAGTGGGAGGGACACAGATAGAGAGGGAGGTAGAGAGAGGAGGGACACAGAGAGAGAGAGGGAGGGACACAGAGAGAGGGAGGGACACAGAGAGAGAGGGAGGGACACCACAGAGAGAGAGAGGGGACACAAGAGAGAGAGAGAGACACAGAGAGAGGGAGGGACACAGAGAGAGGGAGGGACACAGAGAGAGAGGGGGACACAGAGAGAGAGGGGGGACACAGAGAGAGAGAGAGAGACACAGAGAGAGAGGGAGGACACAGAGAGAGAGGGGGAGAGAGAGGGGGGACACAGAGAGAGAGAGAGAGACACAGAGAGAGAGGGAGGGGACACAGAGAGAGAGAGAGAGAGAGAGAGAGAGAGAGAGACACAGAGAGAGAGAGAGAGAGAGAGGGACAGAGAGAGAGAGAGGGACACAGAGAGAGGGAGGGACACAGAGAGGGAGGGACACAGAGAGAGGACACAGAGAGAGGGAGGGACACAGGGACACAGAGAGAGAGAGGAGAGGGACACACAGAGAGAGAGGAGAGAGGGAGAGAGGGGACACAGAGAGAGGGACAGAGAGAGAGAGAGGAGGGACACAGGAGAGAGTGGGAGGGACACAGAGAGAGAGAGAGAGGGAGGGACACAGAGAGAGAAGGAGACTAGAGAGAGAGGACACAGAGAGAGAGAGAGAGAGAGAGAGAGACACAGAGAGAGAAGGAGGGACACAGAGAGAGTGGGAGGGACAGAGAGAGAGAGAGAGAGAGGGACACAGAGAGGGAGGGACAAGAGAGAGAGAGGGACACAGAGAGGGAGGGGACAGAGAGAGAGAGAGAGAGAGAGAGACACAGAGAGAGAGAGAGGGACAGAGGGAGGGACACAGAGAAGAGGACACAGAGAGAGAGGGACACAGGAGAGGGACACAGAGAGAGAGAGGGACACAGAGAGAGAGAGAGGGACACAGAGAGAGAGAGGGACACAGAGAGAGGACACAGAGGAGGGACAGAGAGGGACACAGAGAGAGAGAGGACACAGAGAGAGAGACAGAGAGGGACACCCACAGAGAGGGAGGGACATAGAGAGAGAGGGACACAGAGAGAGAGAGGGACAGAGAGGGAGGACACAGAGAGCGGGAGGGACCAGAGAGAGAGACACAGAGAGAGGGAGGGACCAGAGAGAGAGGGACACAGAGAGAGAGGGAGGAACCAGAGGGAGGGACACAGAGAGAGAGGGACAGAGAGAGGGAGGGACACAGAGAGAGGGAGGGACACAGAGAGAGAGGGAGGGACACAGAGAGAGGGAGGGACACAGAGAGAGGGAGGGACACAGAGAGAGGGAGGGACAATACAGTGATATATCTCTATTAGCTGGAACAATTAGTGCAGAACACTTACGGGAATGAGAATGAGACGACTCTCAAAACTAGAAAAAATCCCTCGTTTCCGTAATTTTTCAGGTACCGGGAAAATTTTCTCGGAAGTTCCGGAAATTGCGCAGTACGTCATATCTCAAACCTGGAAAAATATCCTCCATCCTCGGATTTTTTCTGGGTACTGGAATTTTCCAGAAAGATAAATTATTTCATCTCTCAAAGCTGGAAAACACATCCCCCACCCTTGGGATTTACCGGAATTCATGGGTTCCAGGAAAATTTTCCAGAAAATGGACCCCTCATAAAATTTAAATTCCAGCTATTGGAGAGTTCCAGTCAAGAGGGATTCCATCTAACGAAGATATTACTATAGTCGTAATCATAATCATGAAATTGTAAAGTAATCATAATCGACTCCATTTGTGGAGGAATCATAACATGTTTGGTATATACAGTACAGTACAGTACAGTACAGGGAGTTCTGCTATAACGCGTGTTTTGACAACGCGAATTGGCTCTAACGCTATTGATGAATAGAGGAACAATATTTGTAAAACGTGAACGCGTTTGCTCTAATTTGATTCCAGTGATTCCACTCGAACGGGTGTTGTGGCTTGGCGCGGGGTTATGCAGTGTTTACAGTTCACGTTCGACATCACTTGTTCAATTGATTTATGTGTTTTGTTTGTGAACAATTGCAGAAATAATTTATGTAATATTTATGTATACAGTATACCTGTACAGTATATGTAAATTGTAAAATTTTAAATAAGAGAGAAAAACAAAATACATAGCGTTTTAGACCCGCGCGCTCTGTTTACTCCACACGTTCAGTTTGAAACACGTGTGAAGTTTTTAAGCGTCCTCAGTGAATTCTGATTACTGTTTCTCCAATTTTGTGACTATGGAAAAGAAGAATGTCTCTGGGAAGTGTTCTGGTGATCGCATTTCCGGTGGTGATCGTAAAAGAAAGGCTATAACACTTGAAGAAAAGCTTGATGTTTCATGACTCCTCAACATCAACCTTCTCCCCCATCAAGTTATATTCATATTTTTTCAAGGTAAAGTGTAACATTTGCTGTATGATTTCATTATTAGATATGAATGTAACATTTATTTAGACTGTGCTATCCTTTGTGTTAGGCTAACTATGAATTTTTTTTTCGATTTGGAGTAATCTGCACCTAACTCTATTTTCTCCATAAGCCCTGTTATTTCTATTACGCGAATTTCTATAACACGATGTTTTACAAGAACACAACTATCGCGTTATAGCAGAACTACCTGTACAGTACACCATAGTACAGTATACAGTACTGTGTATCCCAGTTTAAAATGTTCTACACTATGTCCGGGGTTTATTCTGTTACAAGAGCTCTGAAGTTATTGCCTCCAGATACAAAATACCGTATATACTCGTCTATAACCCCCCTTCGTATATAGGTCGACCCCGATTTTATGACCAAGAAATCGTTAATTTATGATATTCCTCGTTTATAGGTCGACCCAAGATTTTGAGGGTAATGGAACAACAAAACCTTCAGAAAAACTCTACGTCCTATAAACTTGTTTACCATTTATTATTACGACACTTTACACTGAAACGCAGGTAGTTTCAACAAAAATATTGTATATTTCCATTCAAGTATTTATTCAAGTCAATTAGGAGGGAATATTATTGTAATACAACAGTTTTTTAACTAAACCATTCGAAAAGTGATTACGGTAACATCTTTTGAACGAAAGAAAGTGAGTCATTGTTTTCGTCACGATTTTATCCCACTTTCCACTGTAATACGTACGTCATTTCAGGAAAAAATATTACATTTCCGTGAATGTAGTATATCAAGCACAGTATGAATAGAATATCATTGTAATATAACAGAATTTTAACCGAAAACTATTAAAAAAACGAATAACATCTCAAGAACATCGGAAGCTTAGGTGAAGTCTTTTGTTTTCGTCATGTATTTTATCCTATTTTACATTGAAATACATCACGTTTCAGCAAAACTACTATTTATTTCCGAGAATATATTCATTCAGGCACAGTTTAGGTAAAATATACGTGTGATGTAATAGTTTTTTAACTGAAAACGATTCGAAAAACACGTGTACCCTCTAGCCCTGTTCAAGGAGAGGACTGGGAGAAGCTGTTTGGTGCTGCAGACGATGACAAGGAAAATGATTTTGATGGATTTTAATGAAAATATTCAGAAATATGGTATCGTAATATTTATTCAAGTCAATTAGGATATTATTGTAATACAATACAACAGTTTTTTAACTAAACCATTCGAAAAGTGATTACGGTAACATCTTTTGAACGAAACAAAGCGAAAGTCATTGTTTTCATCACAATTTTATCCCACTTTCCACTGTAATACGTATGTCATTTCAGCAAAAAATATTACATTTCCGTGAAGGTATTATATCAACCACAGTATGAATAGAATATCACTAATATAACAGTATTTTAACCGAAAACTATTAAAAATACGAGTAACATATCTTGAACATCGGAAGGTTAGGTAAAGTCTTTTGTTTTCATGTAGTTTATCCTAATTTACATTGAAATACATCACGTTTCAGCAAAACTACTATTTATTTCTGAGAATATGGAAATGTAATATTTTTGCTGAAATGACGTACGTATTATAGTGGAAAGTGGGATAAAATCGTGACAAAAACAATGACTCGCTTTCTTTCGTTCACAAGATGTTACCGTAATCGCCTTTTGAATGGTTTTCAGTTAAAAACTGTTATATTACAATAATATTCTATCCTAATTCACTTGTGATGTAAAAGTTTTTTAACTGAAAACGATTCGAAAAACACGTGTACCGTCTAGCTGATACGGCAGAGCCCTGGTCGTGGAGGCTTTGTGTTTGCATCGGCCCTTCTTAAGCAGCTTTTAATTTTAGCGTACGTTGAAATTGTGTTTACCGGTGTATTCTTATTTTCTTGCTTCTTATTTTCCAGAAATATGACAAGTTTTTATATAATACAATGTTACGGTACTTTTAATTTAGAAGTATTCATTTTTAAAAATACAGAAGACACCAAACAAATACTAGTACGGATATTTGCGTGACTCTCCCGCCAAAAAAGACCAAACAGCTGGTACTCTCTCCCTCAGCCCTACCAAAAATAGCCCAACATCTTTCTTGTTTATTCTCTTCCAATTTCTCACTTTAACTGGTATTTTTTACTTCATATTGCCTACATCAGATAAACTACAGTAATTGAGGTTAGATATTGTTATAAATTTGATTACCGGGTCCTGGCAGGTACCGTTAGAACCACCTGACCCTACCAACAGTGTTGCAAGTCAGACAGCATTTTTTTTTTTTACATTTTTGGTGTCTCCATTTGTTAATTTTTTTTCTGTGGGGTTTGCACAATAGTATACTGTTTTACCTACAGTATTGTAAAACGATTTGGGAAAAGAAATACTCGGTAACTTAAAATTTTAAAAGGAAAATTTTGAAACTGGCAACTGTGTGTAGATGACCTGACTCACATCATATTGATGTTTCAAATTTAATTAACAAAAATTTATGTATCTATAAATACACTTTTAAAAATGAATACTTTATGTTTTACATACTCCTGTGCATACCATACCATGCATTTGGCTACTTTGGGCTTGCTATGATGACGCAAGAGATCTGCCCTGGCAACTGTACCGACACTCACAGCGGGTGGTGCGTTGGTGCATCGTTTCCATTGTTTACTGGTAGTTACTGGTAAATTTTTTTCAACCTAACGAAACTATTACCCGTATAGAGGTCGACCCCCAACTTTTTGCCCAAAAATTTGGTCTTAAGAACTCGTGCTATACACGGGTATATACGGTATGACATCACAAGATGGCGGATATTTTATTTTGAGTATCGCTACAGAGAGGACTGACAGCCTCGACGGTTGACTTACAAAGTCATCTGGGAGAAACAGTATTAAAGATCCTTTTGAATATCTGGCCCCAAAAGAATGCACCTTAGTTGTGCCAAGAGTAAGGAGGCGCATCATCATATCACAGTGTCGTGAAGACACCCTATTAACTGAAACTGGATGGGAGATAGAGCTCAGTGTTTACGTTGACAACAAACTGAAGTTCTTGGACAATTGTGGGAAGAAGATGAATCTTGCTCATAAACTAGCAGGACAGCATCACAGATCTCACACATAGCTAGATGATCCATCCATCCCTCATAAGGCTCTTAAGTAGTGTGTTGCTCCCCACATGAAGTACTGTATACTGTTATTCAAATGGTCCCCAGTGTATGCTAAGACTGTCAATTGATTGAGAACATCCAAAGGAGAGCTACTATACTAATGCCTACACTCAGACATTTTTAACTATTAAGGGAGATGAGAAATTCTTCAACTGCTTAGTTTATCCATAAAGGACAATAGAGTTGATCTAATCGAAGTTTATAAGCACCTCAAAGGCCATTGTTCAGTCAGATATACATACAGTATCTGGGATTAGTGGAGGTTACATCCTCAAGTTGAAGAAGCTATCAGTACAGAAAACTGATAGAGCTAACGTCTTTGGAGTACAAGTTATGAACTCGCGTTATAACTTGCCAGAGAATGTTGTGACAACACCAAGTGTGACCTCCTTTAAGATTAACACAGCCACAGCCCATACATGCCCAGCACTTGTCAACAGTGTGAAACAGAGAACTACTGATCACCCGACTGACCATTAAGCTGAAAAGTGGTGAAGAGAATATTCATACATAAGTTTGTTTGCAGTCTCATCTACATCCAGCTGCCATAATATACTTACTCTTTTGTTTCTTGTTAATGTTACTCTCTTCCTCATCTTTTGAATGAGATAATGGTGCAGGTAACAAAGCTTTCAGTAGATCACTTTTTGGTTGCCCCAGGTAACACAAGGGTGCAGTTTTAGACAGTAGAAGTGGAGTAATACAAGGAGGCACTAACACCAAGTTGATTTAAACACAATTTTATTTTCTGTTTGATTAAAATGACCAAATTCTTGAGATATCTGAAGGTTGGAAACACATTGATACACTCCCTGTATTCCACTCAAACAGTTAACTGTGGCATTTAATTGCATACAAGTATTTTAGTAGAATCTACAGGTAAAACATTATGAAGGATTATTAGTGTACAGTATACAGTACTCTACTATACTCTACTGGCCATCATAGCTGTGTCCACCAGGGCTAACAACTGCTGTAGAGTATATCCAGGTGCTGTTAATGCTTCAGGGTTAAGGATTTTTATGGGTTATGAGAGATGGGTACAGTCGGCCACAGGAATAAGTGTACACACTGTAGCTGTAAGGTCCAAAAATGGTCTGGTAACATTGAAACTGCGCATCCAGACGCATGCTGAAACTCAGCTCCCCCCACCTGTTATCTCTAACTATTTTCTGTTTCTCCTTCTTTATTATTCTATTTACTCCTCTTCGTTCCTTTACTAAGCCAAACACCAGTAAAAAATGGTAGGGTAAGAGAAAAAGTGGGGGAGGAAGAGGGAGCTGTACGATAATTGCAATCCCATTCGGCAACAAGTTTACTACCATTAGATACAATATATCACTTGTAATATAACCACAAGACACTAGTAAAACATTCACAACAAATGTATTTATAACATATATGTAGGAATAAAACATAAATTACAGGTCATTTTGTCTGTTCTGTTCAGGACAGTGTTACCAGATATTTTGTCTCAAACACGAACCGTAGGTGTATACTTATTCTTGTGGCCGACTGTACTTACCTAGGCCTCAGCCTGGGGTGAGCTCAGGAAGGAGGATTGAAAGATTTTTTTAGAAAATCTGAATAAGTTTCATATCTTGTGTTGCTTGTAGTTTATCATTGGTTTGTATTATTGAAAGATTTTATGGTTTTCAGGCTCCACCACAGCTTTATAATGAAGGAATTATTCAGGCTGGTTTATCACATCAGGCGCCGGCTGGTCACTCTCAAGACTCAGGAAACTTCAGGTAAGATCTTATTGTTTGTTTTGATGAGGAATTATATGCTTAAATGTATTGTCTTTAGAAATACCTTCAGCACTCTTACTTTGATGTAATTTAAAGAAAATGTTTGAGTGCTTTCACTGTTAAATTAATAGTGATGGTAACATGTACTTCTTGACTTGGTAAAGGAGAGTTGCCAAAAAAAATAATTTATAATATGATGCCAAGTAGGAGAGAGCAGGTATTGTGCACACCAATCTTGTAGGGGTTGTCAGTGAACTCTTTGGTGGTGATGGTGATTATGTGAGGATCACTCAGTCTTCTGTGACACTTATCACTTGAAAGGAGATATCAGGCCGAAGTCTGCCTTAACCTCCAGGCTTCGGGTCACGTCACATAACGTTCTGATCTTTCGCGGGCCTATTTGAATAAAAAGGCTGGGCTTGGCTAGATTTTGTTGCCAAGTAAGTATTTATTTCTCACTCACTCACACATGAGAGCCTCCCAGTCTCTTCTCAGTAGTTTCTCAGCTTTGTGATGTAGGCATCTCATCCTTGGTCTTGACTCACTTCACCATGTTGTTTCTACCCCCCAACCCCCAAGCACAAGTCTAGTATTGTGATCAATTACTGGAGCAGTAATAATGATTTGTTAATTGTGTAAACAGTAATAACACAGTACAACAAGTGTCCTGTACCTCATACTGCCTACAAGTTAGTGTTGTTTACTTTGTTACTACTGCGTCACATACATACGCCACTTCACGAACATTCTCGACTTTTCACAGTCCCGGTGTGGCCAACCTGTGGTGAGGACATTTGTTTATTTCCTGTTTATATCATTCATGACCAGTTTGGAAGACTAAAATGGCTTTTTATTTGTTTTTTAAATGCTCGCGAATATACCCAAAAGTTGTGCTGACCATATCCCAAAGCCCAGGGGTTAATACACACCACAGTGGTGTTGTAAACAGTAACAACTCCCTCCCTCTGGCCACCCAGGGACACATATCTCTTCAACTACTGTACTTTACTGTACTGTACTGTACTGGGACACATATTAACTGGTGTTATTGTAAGGTCAGAGCAGATATCTTTATCCTCATGCAGTGTTTTTGTAAATATATAGAAATGTAACATCAGAATAGTAGTCTGAGGGAGCTACCATAGCTAGTTTCATGGGTAACCAATCAAATACAGCTGTATTCCAGTCTAATGAAGTATTTCTAGTGGTGAGGTGTTGAGTAGTGTTGCTGGAGAATTGTTACTCCAGCATCTCTGGCAGTTACACTACACATGTAGTGTGCACTACTAACCCAACCTCCACCAGCATCTGCCTCTGTTCCACACATATCAGTAGCTCCAAGGTTCACCCCAGATAGGGTTAGTAAAGGTTTAATTACATTAAACGCTTCACTTGATGGCTATACAGTTAATGTATTACTGTACATCTGTTATGAAGAGTTGCTCTATTCACTTGACTGATGATTTATGAATTCATTTTAACGAGCACTTTTTATTTCAGATGAAACGGGTTTAATTCTTGCTTGTTGTCCTGTACAGTACAATACAGTACAGAACTATACAGTACAATACAGTACAGTACAGTACAGTACAATACAGTACAGTACAGTACAATACATTACAGTACTGAACAATATAGTACAGTACAGTACTGTACAGTACAGTACAGTACTGTACAGTACAGTACAGTACTGTACAGTACAGTACTGAACAATATAGTACAGTACAGTACAGTACAGTACAGTACAGTACAGACATTTTATGGTTAAATAATAATTTTATCCAACTTGTTATAAATGATGATGTTGGTGTTATTATGTTGATAAACAATTGTTATTTACCTGCTTCATGTTCAGTTAATGGTTGGAGGAATACTAGTTAAAAATGTGTACTTTCAGAAGTTGATGAGAGTTCAAAAACAGTACCAGAGACAACTCAAGAGGAGGAACGTGTGAGAGTGGAAATTGTGGAACAAATGTTGTCTCTGAGAGTACCAATAAATCATGAGCCAGGTAGGTGTTTCTCTATTACTGTACATCTTGTTATTATAAGACACGATCACTTCATCGATAGCAGTTCTCTTGCCTGGGTTATCGGAGAGTTCTGGGTTTGAGGGATTCCGGCTAACATATTACAGCTCGTCATTAACTCCTTTACAGGTTTTACCTCTGACGGCCACAACATAATGAGCCGCATTACAGCTTCTAGCCAAGATTTCATTATTCCATTTTAAATTTTCAATAATTTAGGTTGATACAGTAATTATTTATGCTTAAAGGTAATATATTGTAAAGCTGATTCAGTGTAAGCATTTTAATTCAGTTTAAATTAATAACTAACTAGAGAACAGTACATACTGATGGTTGCTGCTCACACTCAACAGAGGACCAGGAAGAAGTTCGGGAGCTGCGAGAGCGGCTGATGGCCATGAGGAGTCCTCGAACGTATGAAGACCAAGGTTAGTTAGGGATCGTTATTGCTTCATATATGATGTATACAGTACTGTACAGTGGTCCCTCGGTTAACAAACACAATTCGTTCCAGAAGGTCGTTCGTTAACCAAAAATTTCGTTAACCGAAACCATTGTTTCAATGGGATTTTGGGTAATTGGTTCCAGCTCACCGAAAATTACATACAAACTAAAAATAAATGCAGTAAAGTACACTGACTTTGAGGTGTGTATGTAGAAGGCTCCTGGTTGATGATGATGATGGGAATTAGAATGGGGGTGGAGGAGAAGGAAGAAGAGAAGGCATTGGGGTGGAAGAGAAGTCACCCCATGCAGCCATTTCACCCATAAAATTTTAGTTCACTTGGTGTAATTCAAGATTATTTTCTTTAAATCAACACTGCACTGCATTATATATTGTCACTATGTAAAATAAACTTCAGAATGACCAATAATTGTACTGTAAAACCGTAAAAATAGTTTATGTTCAAGAGAGTCTCAAGCAAACTTCCTCCACTGAGCAGAGACACAGCGCGTTTGGGTGAGTCAAGTGGCTGTTTAACTAAAACTAGTTCCTTGTACTTCAATTATGTTAAATAATTATTAAGACTAAAAATTTTAATATAAGACTTGGAAAAAATATTGAATAGTACAACCTTCTTGATATTTACTGAAATGGTAACAATTTAAGCCCTAAACCGTTACTGTATTGAGGACTAATACTACAACTGGTCAGCAGTAAACTGAGAAGGCTATGTTAGGAAAAATTCGTCAGAATTAGAACCTAATTTAATATTCTTTTGAAGTAATTGTTAACATTAGTTAACTGAGGATCACTGTATTTACATTTTTCAATTTTATTCATATGATATGTGTAGAATAAAGGTAATACAGTTGACAACCCTTATCTGTAATTATGGAAACCTCTGAAAACCAAAAATATTTTCGGAGCAAAACTTTTTTTTTTTTAAATAGGGATTAGCCCACCTCCTGGAGTTACTGACCCGTCATGAACACCAACAGAGGCCAAAATACAACAACAACAACAACAACAAACAACAAAACAACAACCAACAACCAACAACAACCAACAACAACAACAACAACAACAACAACAACAACAACAACAACAACCAGTGGTACTGCTCTGGCAGATTCGTAACAGAGATACCCATTCATGTTAAAAATCCGATATATGTGCTGCTGTGGCCCCCAAAAAACCTGGTCATGTCCTTATTTAGTATATACCTGTGTGTAGTTCAAGTTTTAAGACCAAATCATTTGGCAAAAATTGGGGTCGACCTCTAATGGTATAGTTTCAGGTTGAAAAATATTTACCAGTAAACAATGGAAGCAGTACCAACTCACCACCAACTGTGAGGTGTAAGTTCTGTTCCAGGGCAGATCTCTTTATCGTCATCTAGCAAGCCCAAAGTAGCCAAATCCATGGTATGGTAGCACAGGATGATGTAAAACAAAGTATTCATTTATTAAAGTTTATTTACAGATACTGTACAGATACATTTTTGTTCATTACATTTGAAACATCAATCTTTGTTAATTAATTTGGATCAAAAAAACTACGTCGCATTTTCATTAAAATATTACATCACAAGTATATTTTACCTTGACTGTGATTGAATGAATATAGGTATTCTCAGAAAAAAATATGGAAATATATATTTTTACTGGAATGGCATTACATATTACAGTGGAAAGTAGGATAAATAATGACTTTGCCCTTTATTCAAGATTTTCACGTAATAAGCATAATCCCCAACTGCCATTCGTTAAGGCGATTACGGTAACATCTTTTGACGAAGAATCATTCAATCGTTTATCCCACTTTCAAACCTCTGAGAACATTTCAAAATAAAAATACATGGTAGTTTTGTTGAAACGTATGTACATATTTATATTAAATGCAAAAAAAGCTACAAAACAAATAATACCGTAATTATGCATCTCCATGGCCCTGCTCAAGGTCACCACTCCTCCCAACTCTCTCCCTCCTCCTCTACCTCTCCCCTCCTCTGCCTCCTCCACCCCTCTGCCTCCTCCACCTCCTCACCGTCACTACTAGGCCATGAACCAACAAATGAATAACTGCACCTCCACTTCCTATGTACAGTACTGTGCTGTGCTGTGCATTTCAAAACAATAAACATGGCTATTAAAAAAAGATAAAATTTCTTTACTGTACGTACCTATCACCAGGATTGTAAGTGCTCAGTGTTCATAACAGGTGGTGAAGTGGGGCGACGTAGGATTCAGCTGCTTCCTCACTGCAGTGATTGATGGTGTTAAATCTCCCGGTGATCAAAGAACATGGTGATGGGAGTTGTCTCTTTCTTTCATTTCTTCCATGATGTTTGTAAGGGCGAAAACGTCATCCGTCTCGCATGAATTTCAGGGCACTCACCATGGGGGTCCATACTATAGGCCAGGTTTTTCAGTGCCTCAATATTCCTGGTCATCTCCAACTTCTCCAACGTTATTTCTTGGTGCTCTTCCTCATCCTCCTTCCTTCCTTCCTCTCCTTGCCTGAGTCTACTAACTCCTGTAGATCCTCCTCAGTCAGTTCAGTGTCGAGCTCTTCAATTAGCTCCTAATCTCGTCTCTGCCATGTCCTGGAAGCCTTCAGCAGCCACTTTCCTTGACAGTGCAGTCTTTCTGAATATTTTCATTAACATCCATCAAAATCATTTCCTTGTCATCGTCTTAAGCACCAAACAGCTCCTCCCAGTCTTCCTGAACAGGGCTAAGTGCGTGTTTTGAATCGTTTCAATTAAAAAATGTTACAGCACATGTATATTTTACTAAACTGTGCCTGAATGAATATATTCTCAGAAATAAATAGAAGTTTTGTTGAAGCGTGATGTATTTCAATGTAAAGTAGGATAAAATACATCGAAAACTAAATTTACCTTACCTTCCAATTGTTCAAAGATGTTACTCGTTTTTAATAGTTTTCGTTAAAATACTGTTATATTACAATGATATTATATTCATACTGTGCTTGATATACTACATTCACGGAAATGTAATATTTTTGCTGAAATGACGTCGTTTAGGTGGAAAAGTGGATAAAATGCGTAGCTAAAACTTTGACTTTCTTTCGTTCAAAAAAGTGTTACGTAATTGCTTTTGAATGGTTTTCAGTTAAAAAATTGTTGCATCACAATGAATTAGGATAGAATATTATTGTAATACAACAGTTTTTAACTGAAAATAATTCGGCGATGCAATAAACAACAATCGTCTTTAAATCTTTCCACTGTAATACGTACGTCATTTCAGCAAAATATTACATTTCCACATTCTCAGAAATAAATAGTAGTTTTGCTGAAACGTAATGCATTTCAATGTAAATTAGGATAAACTACATGAAAACAAAAGACTTTACCTAACCTTCCGATGTTCAAGATATGTTACTCGTTTTTTTAGTAGTTTTCGGTTAAAATACTCTTATATTAGTGATATTCTATTCATACTGTGCTTGATATAATACATTCTCGGAAATGTAATATTTTTGCAACTACAATGTTGATGTCAACACAAGCGTGGTTACAGCGAGACTGACTGAGTGAGGGAGAGCTATGCGTGTGTGTGTGTGAGGTTGCGGGAGCGGGCGGTGTCCCGTGTTCAGTGCCGCGCGCGAGTTGAATGGCGCGCGATTTGAATGTACTTCAATTACTTCAATGTACAGAATATTCCTCCGGCGGGGCAATCCGCGTATTTGCAAATCCGTGTATTATAAACCCGCATATGTTAAGGGCCGACTGTAATAATAATAATTATTCATAGTAAATAAAATTTATAATAAAAAATACACAAAAATAAAATAGTAATGATAACAATAATAAAAATAATAATAATAAAATAATAATAATACTAACAATAATACTTTAATAATAAAATAATAATAATATTACACGTAATAATAATAATAATAATAATAATAATAATAATAATAAAGAAATACAATAATGAAAAAAAAGATCAAAAGTGAGAAGCACTACATAGACTTATGAATTATTATTATTATTAAAATTATTATAATTTTATTGTATTTTAGCCCCCAGGTCCCAATGTGGGTCAGTGACCTGTGCCCGGGTGGGATGATCCCTGCATAAAAAAAAATAAATAGAAAATAAACTAACCTAGCCTAACCATTCTGAAATCCGAAATATATAAGAACGGATTTCTGACAGTTCTCTACAGAAAAATGTTACCAGATAATTTAACTCACACAGAACCATAGGGTGTATATGAATACTTGTGGGTGACTGTACAGTGTTGAACAAGCAATGTAGGTACAATATAATAAAAGCAAAATGGTGCAATAAAAAGGCAATATATATCATTCTGCTTGTGTGTGTGGCAGTAGTGCCACAGCAGTGGTGGGGCACACACAGACTCGATGTATGCTCTGGTAAGTTCTTTTCATTTTGGTAAAATTTTTCTGTATGTGAAACTTGTTTCTTTTGCATTTTCATTGAGAGAGGGACACTAATTATGAGTCACAGTAGAGGCAGTACAGAAGAGCAAGTGGTTATAATGTTATCACTGTAATTCAGCACTTACAGGTATGCAACTTGAAGTAGTGTAATAAGTTCTAAAGTTTGGGAATTGTTTATAGATGCAGAGGAGAGTGGCCAGGAGGCTGTAGAGGAAGGTGTGAGCTATGAGGCCGCTAATCTACACATAATAACTCAGTGTTTGCTGCTCATGATGGCCATCAAGCCTGCACCATTACTACCAAAATCCTGTGTTCATCTGTAAGTATATTACTCATAGTCAGTTTTTGATTGATCCATGGAGGTACATGTATAATAGGGTGGAGGCAGCATGGGCGATGTAGACCGTTCAAGTGAGTGAAGCCTGTCAGCCACACGGCCGCCATCTTTTGATTGGCAAGAGCTCGCTGCCAGTTGCCACTCCTCACAGTACTGTAAGCACACATTGTGCTAATGTTTATCAATAAATGTATCAAATAATGTAAAAAAATTGAGACAATACATTAAACATTTATTAATCATAGAAATATACACAAATACAGTACAGTAGTACAATAAACTAATGTAAAACAGAATGTAGATCTGCATTACAGGAGCTTACTGGCCACTGAAATGAATCAGTTTTGTGTATATTGGATGACCTTTTACCTCAACCTGAACTCGTAACTCAGCAGTGAAATGTTTTCCAGCGTCTGCATATATCACTCGACGATGCATAATAATTTGATAATATAAAACATTATTATCTTCACTGACACATATCATATATAGCTGGGGACTTGTAAACAATCTTTTAATGTTCATAAACAATGTAAACTTCTGCTATATGCAATACAATTGAATGCTATATAGCTGAAGCTGTTATAATGATTTTTTTTTAGAACATACTGTATAACTATATTTGCTCCAACACATCAAAACACATCAATGCACAATAACATTTAAATACAAATTGTCACCTATATATGTAACTTAGGGCGACATAAAGAAGTAAACTCTTCTTGTCCCAGTCACTCTAGGTCAAACTGTACAATCTTTAACTCATACAATAACATAAAAAAAATAAACTAAAGTATCTGAAATATTATTAGGTACCTGTATATATTTTACTTTCAATATTGGCATCTCTATCAGTAAGCATCATTCCTTTAGCAATTTATCAATTAATATAACCAATTTTGGCATATACCTTACATTTTCCTGGTATACACAATGTGCACATGCTGTTTGTGCTAAATATAGCCAATTAGAAAACAAGGGTTATGGGCTGTGAATACATTGTAAACTAAATATACACGTCATGACCTACTAACGGTCAGAAGCTTGCCTAAAATTTCCGTTTATAGAAGTTTTACATTAATTTAGATCTTTCTTACTGGCGAAATGTAAGTGAAGGGTCCAATGTTTTGTTGAACCTTGCTGTACAGTGGTCCCTCGGTTTCAATGGGTTTTTGGGTAAGTGGTTCCAGCTCACTGAAAATTACATACAAACTAAAAATAAATGCAGTAAAGTACACTGACTTTGAGGTGTGCATGTAGAAGGCTCCTGGTTGATGATGATGATGATGATGATGGGAATTAGAATGGGGGTGGAGGAGAATGGAGAAGAGAAGGCATTGGGGTGGAAGAGAAGTCACCCCATGGTGCCATTTCACCCATAAAATTTTAGTTTACTTGGTGTAATTCAAGATTATTTTCTTGAAATCAACACTGCACTGCATTATATATTGTCAATGTGTAAAATAAATTTCAAATTGACCAATAATTTGCTTGGAAACACAGTCTGAAGCAAGATGTTACCTCCACTGAAAAGACACAGAGACTGACGCCTGTATGGTGTGTTGACAGGCTGTTTGCCGTGCAAAAAACTAGCTTCCTATACTTCAATTATGTTCAATAATTGTTAAAATGATTAAAAAATTTAATATCAAACTTTTAAAATTATTTAATAGTCCAATTTTCTTGATATTTACTAAAATAGTAAGGAATTTAAGCCCTAGAACCGATTACTGTATTGGCGTACTAATACTACAGCTGGTGGACTGCCAAATGCAAGCGAAAACATGTGGAGGGGCGCTCGTAAGAAATTCGTTAATCGAGGGATTGCTCGTTAACCGAAATTAAGAATACTATGGAAGGTAACCGAAATCTCGTTAACCGAGGCGCTCGTTAACCGAGGGATTACTGTACCTGCCAAAGTTAACCCGCAAGGCAGCGGGGCAATGGTTGGTAGGCGCCAGGACGTGTCCACATGCCAGTGAGCCTATGTGCCATCCCTCTGGGGTCCACTGCAACTCCAAGATCCCCTACTGGTCTAGCTTGGGCCCACAAGGCACCCAGTTACCATGAGTTGCCACAAGGAGTCACAGCAGGAGTCTTGATGGTGAGGAGGCTGTGTACTGGCAGGGGAAGACTTATGCAAGTTGCTTCCTTGTTCACCATGAGGGCTAGCCAGCGGCAGCAGCTGAAAGCGAGAGGGAGCAAGCAGTGCCTGCACCTTAATACTAACATAATGCTGCCACACTAGATGCATTTCACCACCCTGTGTAGTGTGTACACACACACACACACACACACACACACACACACACACACACACACACACACACACACACACACACACACACACACCTCTTTCTCAGGTTTGTACAAAAAAGTTTGCTCAACAACCTCTTCAAGGGACTGGAAAGGTCGCCTGAGGGACATGCTGCAGTTTTGCATCTTGGTAATTAATGCATGATCGTGTGATGTGTGGCAGAGCTGCCAGGCTGGCAGTGTTGTCAACACATCGGCCTCAAGGTGCTTGAAACTTTAAATAAAAAAAATCAAGCTACTTGTACTGTATTGAATTCCATGAGGCACTGGTAACATTTCATCATGGTTATATCCATGATTGGCAGACTCATAAACAGTTACAATAGTTAGCCAGAGACAAAATAAGTGAATGTAATAGTGTCACAAGACACTGTCTATCCAACAACTGTTTAGCAGCAAACTATAGATTTTGAATATGAAAGTTGCAACTCTTAACTCATAAATTTATGTGCTCTTTAATATTGAGTTTGACACTTTCCAAGATTACGAACAGAATCGACAGGACTGAGTTGTACTTCCCCAGAGTTTAAATAAACAAAATCGTCTGTGCTGTCAGAAATATTATCTAGACTACTTTATCATTATTGTTTTTCTTCGGTTTTTATAATGTTGAATGTGTTTTATTAAAGATGTAATGTGAGAATGACTACCTTGTTTATAGCTTCATGTTGTCAACAGATCAAGCCAAGAGGTATTAAGTGTGGTGATGAGACGTTGTATAGAGATTCTGAGGTTTGCTGGAGCAGAGGACCACCAGTTGTCTGCTCTCAAGACTACTACTAATCTGCCTCCTGGACCTGATGTTCTCCTCGCGTCCATGACAACTCAGCAGACACGAGCAGAGGTAACATCAAGTGACCAAAGTCTTACTTCCTCAACCCACAAGTTCAATAATGGACTTTCAACAAAACAACTTAACATGCACTGACTTTCACTTACAAAACAGAAAGGTCCTGGTTGTGAATGGGTTACATACCAAAATTTTGTTTGTAAGTCCTTCATTTGGAACTGAGAACTTAATTTCTTATTGACACAATGTTGTAAATGGTGGTTAGGTTCTCAAACCAGCCCACAGAAGCCTATTTAACCCATAATTAAGCTGAAATATTGTATGGTTGTAAAAATCAAGACCCTGTACAGGCTCAACTTGTAATATCTGGTTGTGGTGAAAGTAGGAATATGAGAAAATCATACATTCTCACTGCTGTTCTATGTTATGGACTTCAGCCTTCATAAATTGGCCAGAGCAACATAACCTACACCCCACACTCTCATGTTTATTATGAACAACATTATTGTTGTCATGACAACTGTCATAAAGACTAACAGATACCTCACTAGATAACAGTCAAAGGAAAAAACATGATTCATTACAACTAATGGAATTTCTGTCTCTAGATTTTCTTCTCAAGAACATTTTGGGGTTCAACAGTTTTCACCACAGGCAACTTTACTCATGCTTTTACTTTTATCCTCTTTGCCACTGATTGTCTCATTAGCCACTTGGGCAGTTGGCCATGTCTCTGTTATGCACTGTTGGCAGGTATTGGGCATGTACTGGTTCCAGGATGTGAACCATTTTCTCAGAAAATTATTAACAGACTAATTATGTCCCCCTCCCCCCAGTGAGAGGCACCTGGCTGCAGTGCAGTGGGGGGGGGGGGCTTGTGAGCCATACCTGGAGGGGACTTGGCCCCCCTTCCTTCCCTCCTTGGAGGGAGGGGAAGGGTTTCCCAAACTGTGTGGGTCACGGGGGAAGGTCCAGACAAAGTGGCTCCTATCCTGCTGCTGGTTTTGAGAGTAAACTGGCAGCATCGTCCCCAGCCCAGACTCCCGGGGCTGGAATACTCTCCCATGTGTTTACCTTGCATGGTGTCCCATTGTAAGAGCACTGGTTGCTACTACTTACTGCTGAACCACTGAGGCCATCAATTGTAAGAACGCGCAACACAAGCTGCCCCCCCTGTGAGGGCTTGGCACTCTTACAACTTACGTTGATACTCTGACCTGGTAGCGTGACGTGAGAGGAAGGCCCATGGGTACATGTAAATATAGTATCGAGTATTAGGGAGAGAACAACGGTGAATACTATTGGTGAATCATAGACCCACATACAAATACAATGTTTATTAAATTAAACACAAAAATGGTTACAGAAAAGACGTTGTATTCACCCAAAACAGGAACTCCTGGTACCCTGCCCTCAGGCTCAAATTACTTGCATCACTACTGGGTGTACCCACACCAAAACACACATAAACTCTTACAGCACCTTAGTACCAATAAAACCAGTGGCACCTGCCAGTACAACACTCAATACCCCAGGGGCCATACTCCAGCGGCCACTCTGGGAGTCTCATCACCAAGTGACACCTTCCAACAAACTCCGATAATTCCGGTGGACTAACACCCCATACCAACAGCCCCACCGAGTTATGTACTGTACTCATCCACCAGTGATGGGGCTGGCAGTAAGTTTGGGGGCTTGAAGATCCGGGTTCACTACAGGGGCAGGGCGTTAGGGGAATACTACCCCCTATGGGGTCCACGGGTGGTAGTGGAGCTTCTGACGGTCGGAGTTCACGAGGACACCCAACTCCACTGGACCTCAGACATCTCCCAAGACTAGTGGATGCACATCAACTGCGTTACTTTAACACTTGTTTAAACAAACTATAGTTAGGTCAAATCACTTAAAAATGGCAAATACAACATGGAGAAGGTGGAGTGACCTACCTGTGGGAGGGAAGCGTGGCGGCTCACTGATTCGAAAACCAACTGCCGCCTTCCACCCCCTCCTTAAGTCACAGATTCCACCTACTCAACCATTTCACTGAATTACGTTCCTGTAACACTCTGACGTTTGAAATTGAGACTACGAACTCAGTTTCATTCCCTACTATTATCTTTACAAACAATGCTCTGACTGAGCTATTAAAAGCAAGAATTAAATTGATAACAAAAGGTTGGATGGCAACAGGTCCCAACACGCAACGTCTTGCTGCAACACCCGTGGAGCAGATTTTAAAGTTTCCTTTCCAGGAATATCAACTCATTCCTCAGTTAACCTCCCTACCACAATTTCACTATGATTATCAGAGTCTCTGCTAATCATGAGTGAAAAAAAAGGTTTACAGGTTCTCGGTAGCAGAAAGAATTTACAAACTTCCGTCAACAAACATACGACATCTCGATGACGTCATCAAAGAAACAGGAGGGACGGAGGACATTCCCACTGGCAGAATCAGAAGGTTTTGTGGACGTGTAAGCGTAATATGGATCATTAGTTTAACAGGTTAGCCGTCATTACGATCATGACACCATAAGGCTGGGAGATGAGATTCCTGGATGTGGCACGCTACACCCTGTGGCTAGCAACACACCTCTTTTGTTTTCTATTCCAGCTAGATGAGCGACTTGATTGGGCCCGACCCTAGTCACAGAGTGGCTAGGATCAGTTGGCCTGGCACTCCTATGGTCTGGGAGCTGCCATCTTGGTCCCCTGGTGGTTACCTGCATATTCTTCCCACTACCCCTGGGGTCACCAGGGTCTTATCTCCCCTTGTTGGGCTCTGTGGTGGGTGGGGGAATGACGTAATTTATGTTTTGTATGGAAGAAACAGGCTCAAATAACCACCCTGATAATCCCCCTGACAACACTGCTCTCTTCCCTGGGCTCTTGAGGCCAACTGGCTCTGGCACCCTCCATGGTGCTTCTACCCATGAGATCTTACCAGGTGTGTTCAAGCAGGTAGATTTGGCCAAATTTCTAGTGCTCCGTACCGTGGAAGGCAAGCCTGTAATGGGCCAGGACATTTTTTGTGTTCACAAGTCAGTAGTAGCAATTTGTGGGAGAGAACCAAAATTATCCACCCAGCAAGATGGTAGCCTCCTCGTGGAGGTCTCCTGCCCCGAGAAGAGTGCTTGGCTCCGTACCCTGTCTGAGGTACCTGGTGCCCCAGTCTCCTGTACTCCACATTCCACCTTTAACCAGTGGTGAGGGGTGGTATTTTTTAAGGAGCTGCTCTGATATTCAGAGGAGAAGCTTCTGGAGGAGCTCCAAGACCAAAAGTGGTTAGGTTTTGCAAGCAAGAAAATGACATTCTTAATCCTCTACCAACTCTGTTATTGACATTTGACTGTTTTGAAATTCCAGCCTCTTATCACAGTTGTCTGGATCTCCATTAAGGTGAAACCATACATCCCAAACCCTAGACGATGCTGCCATTGTCAGATGTATGGCCATGTTGCCTGGATCTCCATTAAGGTGAAACCATACATCCTAAACCCTAGACGATGCTGCCATTGTCAGATGTATGGCCATGTTGCCTGGATCTCCATTAAGGTGAAACCATACATCCCAAACCCTAGACGATGCTGCCATTGTCAGATGTATGGCCATGTTGCCTGGATCTCCATTAAGGTGTATGGCCATGTAAACCTCCGATGCTGCCATTGTCAGATGTATGGCCATGTTGCCTGGATCTCCATTAAGGTGAAACCATACATCCTAAACCCTAGACGATGCTGCCATTGTCAGATGTATGGCCATGTTGCCTGGATCTCCATTAAGGTGAAACCATACATCCCAAACCCTAGACGATGCTGCCATTGTCAGATGTATGGCCATGTTGCCTGGATCTCCATTAAGGTGAAACCATACATCCCAAACCCTAGACGATGCTGCCATTGTCAGATGTATGGCCATGTTGCCTGGATCTCCATTAAGGTGAAACCATACATCCCAAACCCTAGACGATGCTGCCATTGTCAGATGTATGGCCATGTTGCCTGGATCTCCATTAAGGTGTTGCCTGGATCTCCATTAAGGTGAAACCATACATCCCAAACCCTAGACGATGCTGCCATTGTCAGATGTATGGCCATGTTGCCTGGATCTCCATTAAGGTGAAACCATACATCCCAAACCCTAGACGATGCTGCCATTGTCAGATGTATGGCCATGTTGCCTGGATCTCCATTAAGGTGAAACCATACATCCTAAACCCTAGACGATGCTGCCATTGTCAGATGTATGGCCATGTTGCCTGGATCTCCATTAAGGTGAAACCATACATCCCAAACCCTAGACGATGCTGCCATTGTCAGATGTATGGCCATGTTGCCTGGATCTCCATTAAGGTGAAACCATACATCCCAAACCCTAACGACCATAGCCAACACCCTAGACGATGTTGCCTGGATCTCCATTAAGGTGAAACCATACATCCCAAACCCACGATGCTGCCATTGTCAGATGGCCATGTTGCCTGGATCTCCATTAAGGTGAAACCATACATCCCAAACCCTAGACGATGCTGCCATTGTCAGATGTATGGCCATGTTGCCTGGATCTCCATTAAGGTGAAACCATACATCCCAAACCCTAGACGATGCTGCCATTGTCAGATGTATGGCCATGTTGCCTGGATCTCCATTAAGGTGAAACCATACATCCTAAACCCTAGACGATGCTGCCATTGTCAGATGTATGGCCGTGTCAGCCACACTTGTTGTAAGTTAGAGCAGGGTCTTACTGTGGTGAGGGTCACAAATGTCTGGGTCTGATCTGTTGTTTTCACTGTAGTGAGGTGCACCTCTGGCCTCTGTAGTGAGGTGCACCTCTGGCCTCTGTAGTGAGGTGCACCTCTGGCCTCTGTAGTGAGGTGCACCTGGCCTCTGTAGTGAGGTGCACCTCTGGCCTCTGTAGTGAGGTGCACCTGGCCTCTGTAGTGAGGTGCACCTCTGACCTCTGTAGTGAGGTGCACCTGGCCTCTGTAGTGAGGTGCACCTGGCCTCTGTAGTGAGGTGCACCTCTGGCCTCTGTAGTGAGGTACACCTCTG